GTTTCTCCCGTGTTAATATACAAGACAAACCCCTTTCTGCGCTAATGTACATACCCCCCACAGGGCGTCCCTCACAGACATTGTGCTCAATGATGCAAAGCAACACCTACAGGCGGTGCAGAACAGACAAAAACAGTATGCAGACGCGCGCAGGTCCGATGTTGCATATCAGGTTGGAGACATGGTGTTGCTCTCCAGCAAAAATATAAAACTCAGGCATCCGGGATCTAGGAAGCTACTTCCCTTGTGGTTGGGACCCTTCCGGATCATTGAGCAGATCAACCCCGTGGCTTACAAGTTGGAGCTCCCCAATTCTATGCGAGCTCTCCATCCAGTATTTCATGTATCTGTATTGAGTCAATACAAATCAGGTCCAGGTCTCACTCGTCCCCCTCCTCCAGTGGAGTTGGATGGTGAGCTGGAATACGAGGTGGAACGGATTCTCGACAAAAGACTTAGTCAGTTCCGTTCCCGGCATAAGAAGATGCCACAATACCTTGTTAAATGGAAAGGCTTTGGCTATGAACACAACACATGGGAGCCTTTACAGAACCTGACGCATTGCAATGAGCTCTTACAGGCTTACGAACTGCAGCAGCAGTCGTCTGGATCCGACCCTGCGATTGGTCGCCGACGCAGAGGTGGTCGGAAAAGGACTCGAGTGACGACTTGAGTATTCTCAGGCTGACACACAGTGTGTATTTGCGTTGAGGATGCAGACGTAGCTGCAGGGTGGACCCCTCGCACTCCGGGCCGTTCGGGTTTAGGTGGTGGTCGCGGCCGTGGCCGTGGCGCCCCTCGTCCGGCACCTTGATGTAGGCCTCGTTTGGGGATTTGGGTTGATATGCAGACAGACTGTGACCGCCAGTTCTGTGGCCCTATGATTGGGATCCATCAGGTGTCAGCATCAGGCACCCGCCTCTTGTGGATGACCGCACATTTCTTCCCAGTTGACCCATGGTTGGGTTGTGTTGTACATGTCATGCCTTTGTGTCGTGTGATATGTCTTCGTGTTTGTTTTGTGTATTCTCGACTCCGGGACGGAGTCTTCCCCGGCGGGGGACGCCTATAATGCGCACCGCCTTTACAGTATATCACTTCACCAGTACTTTACCAGGAGAGTGCCTGGATTGGCAACGGCATCTCTAACCTATCCCATCCTTGGGAATATCAGGCAGGCCACAGTACTGGAGTACTTGGCGTTGTAACAGGACTATCCAGCAGTGGATGAGTCATCAGGGATCAGAGTGACCCGCCAGTCGCCAGCCGGTGTACTGCGAGAGATGGGTGCAGTACTTAATGGGTCTTGGAGTCTGGTCTGGGGTTCTTTTCCCCTCTTGGCGCCACTGCGCGCTACAGGGGGGGCGTCGCGGAAGCCCCAACATCCGCCTGCTCCGAAACCAACTGTTGTGCACCCTATTGGGTGCGCCCCAGGACCTGCCCACGAGGGGCGCGTGGAGAGCGAGCGGGGAACTCAATCAGAATCTTACAATTGGAAGCGTGTACCACAATTATAGTCAGGTGTTCATTTACCAAAACGGCAACTAATCAAATTATAGACACACTATCCCCTAGTGTATCTAGTAAACCCGTTCTCACCCCAACATCTCAATACAACATAATGAAGTGAATTCACCAGTAAGACTGGATCCACTAGAATTCACAACACACCCGGGCGAGATACTGGATCAATTGAAGATCACCCTCAGGGAGTCCAAGTGCAAGTGGACTCCCACACAACTTTTCCCCCACCTAGGAGTCCTACTGGACATGGACAAGGGGCTCACCATTGCCCCCCCAATGCGAGTGGAGAGGATCCGCACCGATGCGGCACGCTTCCTGCTCCGTGCCCCGTGCAATGCCCAGATGATCCAGGCCAAAGAGCTGGCAGCATTTTGCGGACGGGTGCAATCACTGAGCCTCCCCATTCCGGCTACCCATTTTTACCTTCGCAGCCTTTTCAACGACCTGGCCACTCCCGGGAATTGGACCAGCCGGGTGCGTCTGTCCCGGCAGAGCCTACGCGATCTCCAGTTCTGGCAGGCCTTGGGCCCCACCAACACGACTGCGACGCATTGGCACCCACCGGCGTTGGTGGTTTGGCACACCGATGCCTCGGACTTCGGGTGGGGTGCCACACTGAAGCTGGCCCCAAGGGCCCCCCTCCTCGCTCGGGGGTTTTGGAGTGTCCTCGAGCGGAGGAACCACATCAATCTCAAGGAGATGGAGGCGGTGGAGCGCGCCCTCCTCTCCTTCGGACCACACACCTCCGGGGTCGCCACGTGAATCTCTACACTGACAATCAAGTGGTGAGAGCAGTGCTGAAGACCCAGGCGACCCCCTCTTGTGCGCTAATGGACGCTTTGAGGAAAGTCATGTTTCTCATCGACTCACTTTCTCTAAGCGTGGCACCCATCTGGCTCCCGGCCACCGAGAACGGTTTAGCCGATGCCCTATCCCACGAAAAAGACCCTGAGGATTGGGCTGTCGATCGGGGAATTTTTGCAGCACTCCAGTGGCGTTGGGGCCTGTTCACAGTGGACCGGTTCGCATCGACGGAGAACCGCATGATCGCTCGCTTCAACTCACGGTGGTGGTGCCCAATGACGGAGGGCATCGACGCCTTTGCTCAACGGGACTGGGAGTGGGAATGGAACTAGTGCAATCCTCCATTCTCCCAACTCCCCCGACTCATGGCATTTTTGGAGGCGCACCCCTGAGCAGAGGCAGTGGTGCTGGCCCCGGTGTGGCCTGCAGCACCACGGTTTCGCAGGCTAACGGTGATGGCCTGCGAGCAATTCGAGTACCCCCCCAGGGCCGACTTTTTTCGTGCCGGGCGTTTGGGGGGCACTTCCGTGCAGGCGGTCCGGTGGCGGGTGATGGCTCTGCGGATTCTGCCGCATGCCACCCCTTCGGATTGCCTCCGCTTCCCCCCACTTGTCTACCCGTAGCCAATGCGACCACTACCGAGACTTTGTGCCACCTCCTCCCCCTCGTGGATACGACTGCCTCCCAGTTCGGTAGCCTCATGCGCCTGACGTCGGAGGAGCGCTGGGCGATCATCTGGGACCAGGTGGACGCTAACGCGGAGTCTGGTCGGCGGAGCATCTGGCAAAAGTTTCTGAAATTCACTGGTATGTGCACCCGACGGGGCTAGCGTGCGATCCCCGCCGCCCCCGACCAGATCTACGCGTACGTGCTATTTCTCTGGGCTGAAGGCAGGGTGGCGGTGTGGAGCCTCGATCAATACGTCTCCGCCATTTCTACTGTCCATCGTTGGGTGGGCATTCGCCATTTCCATGCCCACGACCAGATCACCTCTCGCCTTCGTGATGCTTGGCACCAACACGCCCCAGCAGACGCGTATCGAGACACCATTCAGGCCTTTCCCGCCTCGGGCATCTTTCGCTTGATCCGTCTGGGGCTCCACTCGTCTACCGTGACTACCGTGTGCCCTTTCCTTTCCGTCGTCCTCAACACCATCTTTTTTCTAAGGGCCGACTCTGTCCATGAGATCTATAACGAGGATCTCTACCTGACGGGCCATCTCCTGGTTTTTCGTGAGCAACGCTTCAAGGCCAAGGCTACCTGGGAGCTCCAATGGCGCCTCCGCAAATTCGACACGCGGGGCATGCCCGAGTTGCCGGTTCTCCTCCGACATTTCCTGTAGCTCAGGGTTGTGCAGTGGGCCCGGAGGCCGAGCTCCGGGCAGCTCCATCTGCTACAGCTCCCGGCCGATCGTCGGCCCCCCACTGCGGCCGCTGTTTGCAGCTGGTTCGGCATCGCCGCGGTGCACCTCACCACCCCTAACCTCATGCATCACAACACTTGGCGGACGGGCGCTTCCTCCGCCTTTTCGAACCTCGTCCCAGAGAGCCGGATACGCGACTGGGGCTGGTGGGCGCCGCCGGCGCCGCGCCGGACTCCGAGGCCATCTAGCGCTACATCGACCGGCAATGCACTCCTACCGAATTTGACTTCCGCCTCTTTGGGTGGATGGTGGCGCCGGCCGACAACCTCCGAGCCGCGATCCAGGATGTCTTCCGCGGTACAGTGTCCTCCTCCCTCCCAGCTCTCGGGCCCCCTCCGGGCGCTGCGATCGCCGCTGCGCCCTCCGGTTCTTCCCTGCCCCCGCCCGGGCCCTCTGCAGGCGCCTGAGATGGGGTGCGGGTCATCTCTTGGAGCTTGGCATACACTTGCTTAATGAATGAGATAGTTCGAGACATCCGCTTGTATTAGTTATAATGTACTATTATCACGGGAGTGAATGTGTCCGGGCGGGAAGCCACAGGAAGCCGGACGTAAGTGTTGGTTACGGAGTCCATGGAGTAGGCTAGTTTACGGGAGGCCCGAAGGCGGGCGGGAAAATAATGGATGGGGTCCCAAGGCCCCCTACTGGCAGGGGCGGCAGGATGCCCACGGACACATTCAGTTCGCATGTATATGCTACTCTGGGGGTGCGCGGGCTGCCCATGGATTCTGGCTGGGCCGTGGGGCAGTTTGGGGACAACGTGCGCGTGCCAGTGCCACTTCGTTTTCGCCCCCCGCTCCCACTCCTCGGGATTACATGTGGATGGGGATTGGATCGTTGGGAGTACGCTTCGTCACTGAGTGACAGGGACCGGACAAGCATACACTTGCTTAATGAATGAGATAGTTCGAGACATCCGCTTGTATTAGTTGTAATGTACTATTATCACGGGAGTGAATGTGTCCGGGCGGGAAGCCACAGGAAGCCGGACGTAAGGATCGTGTCATGGGGCATCTGCAGACCGTTCAGCACATTGTCGGAATCCTCTTCATGGTGAACGTTAGCGCTGCCATTATCTGCGCAATGGGGCGTTTCTTGCACGGCCTAAACACGATTACCGCAGCTGAGCCTTCCGTGACAGATACCCCCCCCTGCTGAAGTCCCCAGCCTGCGTCTTGGCCTCTCGCCCGTTCCCACGCCCTCGGCTCCCCAGCCCCAAGCGGCAGCCCGGCGGCACCCGGACCGCGCCATGGCCGCCGGCGGCCGGCTGCCGCCGTTCGCGGGCTACATCTTCGGCTGCACGCAGGCCACCCTGCAGGAGTGCATGGCCCTGAGCCTGTTCGGCAGCCCGCCCAAGTGCCAGGACGTGGTGACGGCCATAGCGCCCGGCACGCCCCTGTACCTCTTCGACTTCGGCAAGCGCGAGCTGCACGGCGAGTTTGAGGCGGCGTCGCGCGGCGGGCGCGACCTGGACAGGGCGGCGTTCGGAGGGAGGTTCCCATGCCAGGTGCGATGCCCCGCCACCGCCGGGAGGAGGGGGGTGGGGGGGTGGGGGGCAGATGATTGCAGAGACAGAGTAACGAGGCGTAAGCCCGCTTTTCCTCTGCCTTTAGGGAGATTCGGTGTGAGCCCCCGGACAAGACAAGGCGGATGAGAAGGAGCGAACATCAAGTGTCGTCGCAGCATGTCCTTTGTGGGGTGGGCTGGGGAAGCCGCAGTTGTGTGCCACCTTTCCGGCCATTCAATTGCCTGGATTGATCGGCGCGGATGAACGCTGCGCGGATCCTGCGTTGCCAGTTTGTCAATCGCTTCGTCCGATGTCGTGTTGTGGGTCCGCCGCGGGCGCTGACGGCGGGACGGATGCCCGCTGGCCAGGTGAGGGTCAGGCGCATTAAGGGCGTGCAGGAGGTGCTTTCCGAGGCCGAGTTCGGGGACGCCATTCTGGAGAACTACTACGAGGGCCACAAGTTCAAGTACGAGCTGTCGGAGGCGCAGGTGCGGCGCCTGCAGGCGCTGTTCTGGCAGCAGCACCAGCGGCGCTGCGGCCCCGCCAAGCGCGCCCAGAAGCCAGTGGCCAACACGGGGCCCATCAGCGGCAAGCGGCCCAGGACGGACGCGGGCGGGGCCCTGGGCTGCAGGGACAAGGCGTCCAGGCCCGTGGGCAGGGACACATGGATCAATCCCGCGATGGTGGCTGGCCCTACGGGTGCTAGATCCCTGGATCCCTGGATCGATCCCCGGCAGGCCGGCGGGGCCGCGGATGTGCAAGATGGGGCGCGGAGCTGTGCGGAAATTGCGGGCATCTCTCAGGGGGACTTTATGGGGTCCCCTGTGAAACTGGATGAGATGTTGGAGCGGCGCACGGCGGTCGTGCTTGGCCCGCTGCCCTCTCCCTGGGAGCTGTCGGCAGATAAGCTCGTGCGCGTTTTGGACGGCACCGTTGGCGTGGAGGGGAGGTACAGTCTCTTCCTCATAGAGAAGGTGGTCGAGGATGGCAAGAGGTACTGTTTTCTGAATTTCGACTGCGCCGATGACGTGCGCCTCCTGGCCAGCAGGTGCCACAGCGAGCACTGGAGCGGCATAGCCGGGAAGAGATTTGTTGATAACCCTGTGGCGAAGGTGTGGTTCCTGTCACACCAGGGGGCAGATGACCTGGCCCGAGCGTTTGGCTCGAGAGGCCAGTGGGAGCCAAACGACGTTTGTCCAGGTAACCTCCAAGGACTGCGAGATGGCATCGCGTACTTTTTCTACGGGTTCGGTGCCCACCATGCTGCAGGCGTGTCCTCCCAGGTTCACACGGCCATTGGAGGACTTGAGCTTCAGGGAGACAGGACTGCACAAACTTGCAGGACAGGCGGGGCGCCGAAATTCCCGACATATGGGATGGATCAAATTTGCAGAACTAGTGGGGGCCTGGACGTCCCTGCAGATGGGATGGACACTGATGCTGCATTGATGGACCCAGATGCGCCTTTTGATAAGCAACCTTTTGACTGGCAGAAGATGGCTTGCATCAAGACGGAGGATGGTGTTCAGGATATGGAGGCGATGAGAAGAAGAGCAATTGTCTGTTTTCAAGCAGACCTTGAAAAGATTATGAAGATCCTTGAGGATCAGAAACGGAACGTGGTGCGCACTCTGAAATTCAAATACAAGCCAAGGATGAACCAAGACCCCAACTTTGATGAATATGAGAAGATCTTCCGGGAATTGAGTATTGACCTTGACAACAAGATGGGCAGCCTGGGGTGTAACCAGCCAAAGTTCCGGTGATCCGATGGCAAAGGGAAAAGAGGGGAAGGGGTGGTGGGGGTGGAGGTGATGGGTGGGGTAGTCACTGAGTGCGAGCATGGGATGAGTCGCATCTGTGCAGTACTCAAGGCCAGCAAAATTGTGACAATATTATTACTGACAGTGTTGGCAGCAACCACCTTCTGAACTTTATGTAACCGTATGTAATATTGGGCCTACGCAGAAGTCACAAGGGGGCCGCAGAGGGCCCAGGGTAGCAGAGGAGTTGGGGAGCCCATGAGTAGTGTAGAAAGCGCATCAGCGACTGATTGCTGATGTTGGAGGTGGTGTGCAGTCCCAGGTCGTCTTTTGCTCTGGTGGTTGAATCCGCTGGGCACATGCTAGTTGGGAATACACTGCAACCACCACACCACAGTCCTTGTACTTGTGGATTCAATGTCCCTGTGAGCAGAATATTTATTCTTGGGTGGACAAGCCCTGGCCTGGACTGGGTGACTAAAGAATCGCTGTCGGCAGTGGGGACCATCGTTGGAGACAGCGTAGGCTCTTCTCAGCCAAGCTTGTGGGCAGGTTGGTGCTCATCGCTTCTGCCATGCGATGCAACACCACTGTGGCACAAGCACCGCAGCACACTGGCTGACCTGGAAGCTATTCATGAAGGCTACTTTATTCAACCTCCATCGATGCGGACAGTCGATGGCACGATTACCTTCACTGGCAGTGTCTGCTTCAATGGGGGCTGAGTACCAGCAGCCTAACCTTCCACAGTGTGCCGCTTGTTGACTCAGTGTTAATGAGTTTTGGGGTGGGTGGATGGGGGGATCGGATGTGGTGCTGCGCACCTAATTGAGAACGTGAGGCGCTTGGTTTTGCAGCGCCCTGGTTGAGCGCGTTCTCCATGGTGCAAAGATGCCATCGTTGTGGAGAAACCATACACGTGAAGGTGGGAAGTAGTCACGATATCCTTGCGAATGGCGGGTAGGCGTAAATTCTCCGGCTCAATCACAGGGAATGATCCACTGCAAACGCGGTGCACAACGGTAAATGGAGGTGGGCCAATATAGGGATAGAGGCACTGCCCCCTCCTCCTGGTACTTGGTGGGGCCTGGAAGCTTCATGCGGCTGAAATTGCACCCGCATTTGGATGCGTTTTGGGCAGGTGCCGCGATTTGGTCTGGATTGTTCGTTCCTGTGGCTGTCTTGTTGCCATGGGTGGGCCAACTGTGGGGACGCTGCAACACCTTGGACAAAGCTTGGGCCATACTAGGGATGGAACCAGGGCGCCTGGGGCGGGTACTGGGTTTTTCTTGTACCCGCCTACCCGGGTACCCGCCAAACATGGTACCCGCCAAACCTTGTACCCGGGTAGGCGGGTCTGGATAGGACCTGGTATAGGTGGGTACCCACCTGTCGCGAATCCAGGTCGCAATCCGGATTTTCAGCCGGGCTCCATCCCTAGGCCATACTGTTTTCCGAATCGTGCATGCTTGGCGCTCGCTGTAAGGGGGGCTGAATCCAGATTGGTGCTGCAAGTTTCAACTTGCAACAGCACGGATGCAGGTTGCAGCTTTACGGATGCTGAGCCCTGGGGCGCTCGGTCACTCTGTCGTCACAATTCATTGAACAAGTGATCGCCTGCCCAGACCACCCAGTCAGTGAACTGCGGATGTGGACTGCTCTAACAACTGTGCTGTGCTGTCGCACTGTGGCCCAAGGGTGGTGATCCCATTTGTCACGTGCTCGAATTCGTAGGAAGCATGCGCCCTGGAACATTCCAGGCCCTACTGCACTGCGACTGCGCTGGACAAGTGCTGGGCTCCTTGCTTCCCTGGTTCCGCGTCTCCTGCCTAATGAAGCAGGCACCCTATGTGCAGTGAACGCTGCGAGGACTGTGTAGCAGCTCTCCCCGTGCGTTACACAGTCGACCACCCCCACTCAGCGACTCCATCGTTCGGCAGGGATACCTGGCTCTTGGGGATCGCGCTTCAGCCTACCGTTCCTTACAGTTGAGCCAATTTCCTTGCGATGACCCGATCTCGTGAGCAGAGGTCCATTTCTGAAGCCCAGAAAATGCATGGAACCCAGGCCTTCTATTCTCTCGAATATGTATCCCAGCACAGGAATCAGGTTTGCACACATCAACACGGTTGGAATGTGACCAGAAATTGGTGCTACCTGCTTCGCTGTGAAGCAAGGAGCCCCATGCTGAACCAATTTCGTCATACAAGGGACAGTGGCCTGGCTGTGCTGGGAGAATGGGTGGGCCGCTCAACTGGCTTGGTCCTTGGATGCTAAGGTTGATTTTAAGCCCCTCTCCGAAATCATCGAGATCGTAACAGCAACTCTTGAGGCGTGATCCAAGGGGTGGAACTCCCCATCTTGGCTCACCAGCCATTTCAGTTTGTGAATGGGCTTGTTTGGCCACAGCACCCCTGCAAGTGTTCATCTGACTGCCCATTCGCATCTGAGACTGGATTCCTAAGCTGAATAACAAGCCTATCAGACAGACAGGCAGGCACTGTCTGCAGCCCTCCTCCAGTGCATTGCAAACAATCTACTCATCGTCCTCATCCATAGCTCCGCCACCAGACTTGGACCTGAATAGCAGAACAACAGAAGCATTGACTTCCCGTTTTGGAATGTGTGTGCATCGTTGTCACAAAGTTGCAAGTTTAGTGCTTCATCGCTTCTTTGCAAGTGCAATCAAAGGGACTAAAAGCATGCACGACTAATCCCACATTGATGTCTATGTTCACCACATTCAAGAACACCACTTGGTGTCTGCAAGAGGAGGAAGGGTCGACCTAAGAACGCCCCTGCAGTTTTGCAACACATTTGAGCCACACAACAATGCCACACAACTGCCATGGCAAGGAGGCGCAGTAACAAATAAGGAGCAGGTTGCCAACATCTGCAGTAGGGACAGTGACAGAGCCCAGCAGCAGTCAAAAACTGTAAACCCAGAAATGCACCCTGCATTCTGAAGTTTTCCCCTTACTTCAAGGCCCTCCTCTTGACGCGGCCTGGCCGTCCGCCTCCGAATGGGCTTGTCAAAGAGAAGTCAATATGCTTCTCGCTGTCAACCCTGACCATGAAGGAAGCGATGTTGACAATCTGCTTCCCAACCCTGCAGCAACAAGTGACTGGTATAATTGCACACTGAGATCCACTACACAGCAGGCTGAAAATGCACTGTGCTGTTGGCAGCCAGCAGAGCAAGCACTGTTGTGCGTTGGATCCAACATGTGGATTCCTGCTTCTACTCCAGTGGTAAGGATATGAATTTCAGAGAGATGCGCCAGGGAGGGGAGAACCACAGCATGACCTGGACTCCAATGCCAGGCACTTTCTGGGGTGACGTATGAAATACATAGAATCACCTAGTCACCTCGCTTCGACTTGATTCAAAGAATGATCGGGAGAGTGACTCCAACAGAATCAGATCTCTTAACTGTGTCGTTCGTTCCGACGCCGTCATGACGAGACGAGGGTTACTGGCAAGCGGGTACTGAGCAGCAGGGAACCATCAGCAGTGAACATCTGAAAGGCCCTCGAGTGGGGGTGGGCGGCCCCATTGCCATTCACCATCTTTCGCACAAAACAAACAAAGCCTCCCAGCACCAAGATTCCATGCGTCTACTCCCATCTGACAGCTCCGAAATGGCAGCGCCGCCTCCAATTCCCTCTCTACAGCATTTCCATTCCGCCGCCCTCGGGACAATCGGATGGGCGAACCGGGCAGCCACCCCCCTCGACGATCCCGTCACCGTCCGCGCGTCAGATTCAACATCGCCACCCGGCCCGGCCCCGCGCACCTTATGTGCCTCTGCTGGATCAGCACCCTCGCGTGGTGGAAGGACTTGGCCAGGCCCTGCTTAAACACCAGCGTCTGCAGCCGCCGGTCCAGGAAGTGCTGCGGCGTGAGCGCCAGCACGTAATCCAGCTTGTCCTGGTTCTCGTCCAGCAGTCCGTACCTGTACATGCGGCGCATGAGCGCCCGCCCTTCGAAGATCCGCCTGGGGTCCTTCTCGTCCAGCGTGAGCAGCGTGCGCGCAGAATTACGTATCCTGGACAGCGTCATCTGCACGCGCCACAGCTCGCGCTTGCAGCGCAGCCCATACTCCCCCACCAGCTTCAGCTCGTTGTCCAGGCGCTCCTTCTCGAATGGCCGGCGAGGCCGCTTGAAAGTCTTGCTGACTGCGGAAGGGGCCGAACGGCACCGGAGTCAACAAGGGCGCGGACGCTGCAAACGGGGGCGGGCGGGAATTGTTTGGGGCGATCTCGAGGCATCCGCAGGTAAGGGGAGCAGGATGAGCACCAGCAGGGTTGGAAGGAGGCGGTCAAGGGGAAATAGAGTGGGGAAAGGAGGAGGTTGGGGAAGCATGGATGGCGACCCAGGCCATGCGATGCGTGGGTGCCCGCCGCCTGTGCCTGCGCTCGAGGAGCTCACAGTTGCGGTAGTAGGAAGTGTGCGGCATGTTGCACGCTCCGCCGCCGAAAGGCGCCTGTGCGCGCAAGTCACCCGCGCAGCCGCGGTGCCCTGTTTGGAGCTGGCGGCGTGCCCAGTGCCGCCGGCAGCAATGAAGGCCAGACGGGAGTTACCTACATAGGTAACGCTACTGCGTAACGCCCCATAAAGAAAATCTTTCACCATTTCCCCTCCGTCAGTGCACATTTTTCCTTTTTCTTTCCTGATTTTCTGCCTGCCAGTCTGTCGACAGTCGCACTGCCATATCGACGCCACATTCATGCTGCAAGATCTTTGCCGACTACTGTCATTGGGCAAGGTGCGTCATCAGTTCTGGCACCACCTACAGTTCTGCACCACCTCAGATCCCGGGCTTAATTGTACTTTGTGCAAGGTTGCGACATCTTGACAATACACCAGCTCAAATCTTCGACACCCGCATCACACAACCAACAGCTCCCGGTGCGAAGTGCCATCCTCCCACAGATCAGCCGCCACAAAACGACGAGAGCAATCGTCGGCCGGCACCTGCCGCCGTCCTGCGTTTCGCTTGATCGCCGCCTCACACTGCGGGCAGCTCAATACACACGCAGCCAAACGTCACCAGGCCACACCGTCTCCACTGCGAACAGACGACTCCTTCGAGACGGCTCCAAAACCGGCCGTGCTCTACATCTCCTCGTCAGCATCGCCTCCCTTCCCGGTCAACTCCTCAGAACTGGCCTCCGGCAGCGCCTCCGTCCAGGCGGCGAGCCGCTCCCGGGCCTTAACGAACCGCACGAAGCGGCGCCGCATCTGCTCCCGCCCCTCGCCCTCCGAGTCCAGCGCCTCGTCCAACTTGCCGATCTGCTTGTCGAACGCCGACACCAGGTTCAGCCCACACACCCTGGCGTACGCCACACAGCTCCTCGGGAGCATGGGCTCGATCAACTTGTCCACTTCATGGGACACCACGTTCAGGGCGCCCGCCACGCCGCGCTGCCCCTGGCCTTCGGACTCCGCCTCGATCGAGATCCCCCGGCTCACCCACGAGAGAACTGCCCAGATCGCGTTCAGCAAGACGTCGTCCGCCCCGCTGTTCAACGCGAAACTGAAGATCTGCCCAACAGTAAGAGTGGCGTGTCAGGAGCAAACAACAGGAGATCAGGGCGCAGACACCAACTTTTGGAGGGGCAACTACGTCTGCGGGCTGCGCTGCGACCGGCAGCACCAAGCTAAAAGTGAATATAAGTACCTATACGTGCAAATGAACTGCAAAGTAAGTACGAGGGCTCGTTTCTGTTGAAATTGTTGTATTGTATGCCAGGCCGAGTTCACATGATCGTCCAGGAGCGGAACCTTCCTCACGCACCTGGGCCTGCATAAAATCTATGATGTCATGAGCGGAATCAAAAGTGAGATTCTCTACTCAGCCAACATAGTCATTGTTCAGCCATATTCTGATTGCCGCCAACGGCTGTGCGGTCGACACAGAGCAGGACTGAAATGTGAGTTGGCTGTTGATCATTCCAACCTTGGGCACGCACAGGTAGATTTATGGCTCCATGCTGGTGCCTCAGCTGGGAGCCATCTCAGCTTCTGCTGTCCATCCAACTGCCAATTATCTCTCTGTCCCAATTTACATAGCAGTCACGAAATGTGGCCCCAGACAATACATCCAAACATCTCTAATATTGCAACAGTTTTGCTCAAGTCCTGTGCAGAGTGTGCAAACTTTGTGCCACCGGCCGCTGGGACCAATCTGCTAAGCACTGAACGAGGGATGGTACCTAGAACTGGGGCATATTGGACAAAATCTTCATGCTATCACAAGGTGGTTCTGAATACGGCCATTTTCTGCCAGCGCCCCAGGCGACTTTTGCGCTGCGAAGCAAGGCTGCGGGAAGAAAAAGCGCATTTTGGCCTGCAGGTCACCTTTATTATTTCCATCTGGCCTTCACGACTCTGATCCAACTTTCCATTTTTTTGAGACTACCTTATGCCATATTCTATGCTCTTTATAACGTCAGTCAATCTGGGATGGAGGAACATATACTGAACAAGCTGCACACCACACACACACACACACTCATGGAATTCCTCACCATCCTCAGCCAAGCTGCCTACAGCAGTCCCTCTGCCAAACAGGAGCCCAATTCACATTCCTTAACTGCATGTGTGTGGCACCTGGACACCTGGGCGTTGACAAAAACAAGATCCCCCCAAACTACACGCTGCTCTGCATGTGTGTGCCATCCCTGTGCACTTGGTGACGAGCGCTCCACAGTACGGCAATAATCTCATGATAATCATGCCCAAGATGAGGGTGCCTGGGACAAGCATTCGCACTCTTATCAAGACGATCCGTTTTCACCTGTAGAAGCTTCTCGAGGGCAACGAGGTCGTGTATGAGTTCTGGCATGGCACGGTTGACCATGGCCATGACGAGCATCACTTGGTTGTCCACTCGGTCGCTATCAGACACACGGAACAGATGGTAGAGGCACATTAACAGGTTCTGGTCGCTGCACAGGGCCTCCACAGCCGCGTCCGATGCCATCATTGCATACAGTGCCTGCAAGCATGCAATCAAACAAACTGTAAGAATATCGATCAGACAGCACGGCGTCCAGTCAATCATTTGATCGATTGGGCGATCACTCGATCAAGAGATTTTCTTCACAGGATGCTCCACTCAACTACATGCTCCAAGCAGCTAATCAAGGATCACCTGCACACAGTACTACAATAGCGAGCCAAGGCATTTGTGGCATTATCAAAGAACAGCAGACCTCATGAGCAGCTCACAACAGTGTCTGTCTCATATTGGCACTCCCAACAAAAACTCCACAGCAGAACTCCACAACAGAACAATATATACATACACCCATACTGAGAATGGTGAGAATGTCACCTTTAAGCACACCGCCATTGCGTCATCGCTCACGTCTGGGCACTCAGCAGCAACTATTCGGCGGGCCTCTGCGCTTGTGTGCGAGTCCATTTCCACACCTGGAGTTGTTGCAGGCAGCACGTTTCAGTGCATTCAGACACCTTGCAACAATGCGATTTCTTAACACCTGGAAGACACCTGGAACCTAACAACTAACGCTTACAGTCAGTTAGTCACCAACAAAAAACAAAATGTGCTCAGTGGCCGTTGGGGATGCTTGTCTTAATCCACGCCCTTGCAAGCTCTCCACCTGAACGCTTCAACACATAGCTGTTGGCTGTTGCAGTCACCAAGTCCAGGATGCGCAAACCAAGCAGGCAGCGGATTGCCTCCTCATCGCTGGTGAGAAGCGATTCAAGTGCTGCATATGCAAACTCCAAGAGGTTCTCGTTCATTGTGTTGTCGATCATCCACAGGATGCGAGTAACGTGGCCATCCTTCAGAAGTAGTGAGCGCCAAGCATTCCGACTCTGTGCCAATGGAAAATGCGCAGAAAGAACACAGTTCAGGCAATGGTTACCACAGTTCCTAAATCTAGCCGCTGCGATTGTATCTTACATTGTATCATATTGAGGCAAAATGTGCATGAAATGGAGAGAAAGACAATGCCCATAAAACTGCCCAAGCAGCCCGTTTGCCTTCCATTGCTCCACAAGACAAAACCAACCATGATGCAAATCCACACCGTGATTGCTTGGATCAAAGATATCCTATAAACAAGCACATGGGAAAAACTCAACTGCAAAACAGATAGACAGCAGGGACACTGCGATTTGTATGGAATATCTGATGGAACAACACAATCGTGTTGATCCGTGCTTTCAACTGTGTCACGCACGTGGACACAGCTGAGGTAGAACATATTGTATGGGATGCCAACAACAGAAAATTTTGCTGTCATTCAGATAACACGGCATCAATGCTTTTGATGCAAAACCATCGTGGCCATCCAGCACTTGTGCATCTGCATATGATTCAACAGCTTGAAAACTCTACTCCGATTGGGAAAGTTACAGACTGCAAGGAGGATGGTTCCGATGGTCACCTTCCTGGGAAACTGGTAATGTGGGGGTCAGGCTTCCCAGCCATTATTGCAATCGTCAGAATCAGAGTCTGGCCAAATTCTTCTGCAGCAACGTATGAAATGACTGCTTGCATGCAATGTGCAGCATGTGGGGCCAAAATCGCTCCTTCGATCACTCACTTTCCTTGCAAGCACGTTGGCCAACAGCCTGCAGCATTGCACCAGCGCATCGCTGTCCGTCATCCACAGCACTTTGCCCACGATGGCCTCCTTCAGATCGGGCTCCTCAGCGATCTTCTCAGCCAGGTCGTCATAGCGTGCCATGTTGGCAAGCATGCTCACCCCCTGCTCCACCAGCTTCGCCTCCTCAGTATTGGCATGCGAGTCCAATATAACAGCCAGCACTGCTTTCAGCAGTAAACTCCTGCACAACTGCAAACCTAGTGTTAGCAAGGGCAGAACATCTGGTCAGGCACAATATGCTATTAGCAATTCCCCCAAGGCAAGATCTTAGACATTGGTCCTTTGGGACCACACATCCTCCTGTGCAACCAATAGTTCAGGTTTGCGCACAAAAACACTTGATGTGGACTCAACAACGGCTCAACCTATTAAAGGTCACCTCTTCTGGTGACTGGGGAACGCTCCATATCTGCCTGACGATCTGTAGAACCAAAGCAGGGTAATGCACACAGTAATGTGCCTGTCACCCAGCTTTGATCTCATGATGCCCTATGAATATTCATGAGGACATGTGAGCAGGGTGTTTTAGGATATCTGCGTTGATGCTGAGGGTCGCCTGCAAGGTGTAGGCTCACCGCTCTGCCCTGTGGGCAAGCACTGACTGATGCTCGTCAAAATAAATTGCAAAATCCACTGCTAGGGGAAAGTGCCAAGATTCAGCGCTCCAGTGGCAACTCCTTCGTGGCTGGTGGGAGAGTACTCTCAAGCAGCAAAAGTCAGGGATGAGCTTAACATCACACCAACATGGAAAACATCATTCCAAGCAGCAAGACTGAAAAGAGGGCAGATCAAGGCCACTGGCCATTGTTCTGGAACCTTGAGACCAATGCACTAGCAACACCAGTGCCCCAAAAAAGGGTAGAACTATCTTCGGCATCAACTTGATGCAGTTGGAGCCGGGCATCCTTCTGAATCCTGCACAACCAAAGATGGCGCTCTGGGTGAAGGCGCACACGCACTGTGAGCATCAAGTACCCATTCCCTTTGGATTGTCAATTCTTGAACAGCCTGTTGCATTTTCACAAACCGCAACAGACCTAAAGCACCTTTCCAGACCACAATTGGTCCAAGCCTTTCTTTTGGGTTCAAGCATGTCAAAACCTGCACGTTATCCCCACCAAACAAACCTGCCATCCCGATCTGTGCTGTGTGCTACTTCCCTTACACTTGCACACGTCTGCGTCACCTCCACCAGCATGGAGAAGAGTCTCACACACTACCCCTCCCAACACCACGACAAGACAACACCCTCCCAACAGACACAGCACCACGCAAATGCCATTCGCGCTGCTTGCGCTGTGCGCTCATAATCTCGCATTGGGAGACCCCACAGCGCCTTCCCACACAGCGCAAAAGAGTTCAACGCACGCTTGCTCAGCCGGGGCCGTTCCTTGCACGGCCTGCCTTCGTCCCAAGCAGAGACACCCACCCACCCACCCCCAACCCAATCATTCACAGCATGGTAAACAGCCCCGCATACACTGGTTTAGGCGGTGGTGCCCCTTGCATGACCTGTTTCTTTCTCTTTTGTAGCAAATCTCACCCTCACCCACTCACCTCCCCAGGTACGCCCCGTGGTTGTGGTCCACCGTCAGGTCGATCAGCACCTCCGCAGCGTCCACCCTGTCCGCGTACGTCCTCGAGTGGCGCACGGGCGAGAACTGCGTGTGCGCGGGCGTCTGGCCCGGCGTGGCCCCCGCCCCCACATCCCCTCCTCCTCCCTCGGCCCTCTGAGGCGTAGACCCAGGCGTGGCCGTCATCCCGTCCAGCGCCGGCGGCACGAAGGTCTGGATGAGGTGGATGTAGTGCAGCGGGTCACCGGAGACGACCTCCATGTAGCGCTCCATGAAGCGGTCGTCGTCGGGGTGGATCTCCGGCGTCACCGGCACGCGCACCAGCGGGATGGCCGTGGTGAGAGCGGGCGGCGTCACCTCCCAGTCCATCGAGGCTGCAATCGAGGCCGCAGTCGAGCTACAATGTATGATGTTGCAGTTGGTGTTTGACCTTTTGGGACCTGGAATGCGCGCAATTGAGGGGACAGCACTGCTTGCAGAGGATGCCGCAGGCTCCTGGTTCTCTCGCTCTTGGCCCGTCCTCCCGATGCGCCAATCCCTTCTCTCTTTGGCCCCCGCGGCTTCGGACTCAGGCCACTCTCAGAGGGCGCAGGTAGCCCCTCCTTTCGCCCCTAGCTTCTCTCTTTGCGCTTGCTTGGCCCTTTCCCCTGTCCCCTTCGTCCCCGGCGACAAAAGTTGACTTGGAACGCCAACGGAGCACACGTAAGACGAGCGGCCCTGCCTGCAAGAAGGGCACCCACAGCAGCATCGGGTTCAGAGAGAGCGCGGCATGGGAGCCCGGTTCAGGGGCCTTAGATGCACACTTTGGTCGGGGCAAAGATGGATTCTGCTACGCCGTGGACCGGGACGGGAGAGGGTGGGCGCAGAAGGGATCCTGCGTGAGAGGTTACCAACAAGGAGGCGACTGTGCTTCGCGCTCACCGGGGTGCCCTGCGGAAGGCCCCGACAGGGGTGTTCGTTGCCAACGACCCGTTCCGGAGTTGAGCCTCAAGGGGCCGTCTTTTGGTGGGCACTTCGCCGAGTTGGCTCGCAGAACAACGCAAATTTTTCCCCGAATTGTTGGATAAAAATGGGCGCAAACAAAGATCGACGACAGGCGCCAAGCCTCTATTGCTCGTGCATACCGAAAACACTAAATCTTCCGCATAGTAGCGTAACGCTTGGTCTTTCCTTGCGGAGAAAGGCTAATATAATTTTTGCGGAGCAACCAAAAATAAAAAAAACTGTTGGAAACAAAATACGGAGCAGAGAGCGTAACGGTAAAACTTTTTGATGCGGAAAGGCTGAATATAACTACGGTACTGCCCAATTTGACGTTGCAAGCACAGTCACTGTCGCAAAACTTGCAGCGGCTGTGAACTGGGCAACTCATCCGAGGACAGAGTTCTTGGGGACCTGGAGTTGGGCGATTTTCCTGTTGGCAAGGAGGTCTCTACATCCCCCTCTAGAGCATAGAGTCTCGAAAAAACTCTAAACTAGTTCATTGCATATCGCACTCCCATGCTGTTAGGAATCCAACCTTCGGGCAGTTCTGCGGTCTTCGTGCGGCATGAAGCAGCACAAGTGCTACAGCAATCACTCATGTGTCCTTGGCTGCACCCATGCACAACATGGCAGAATTTCTTAGCGATTGCACAAAAGGTTGATGGGAGGAAAGCAAATGATGAACACCTCACGATCACACGAGTGGTGGAAACTCACCAACAAGAAGCGCTGTGCTCCGAGCAACATAGCATTGCTGCCATGCACAAGGCTACCATGACAGGTGGCATGCGCGCATTGTGTTGACCAGGCACAGAGGGAACAGGAGCTCTTCATTTCGCATCTCTTGCAAAAACTTCTAAGCCCTTCAACGCAATGTTGTCAACAGATTAACGCAGGCAATAAGCATTTGATTAGGGAGATGTGAGCGGGTGCTGGCGACTGTGCCAGGCATTCCGTGGGGGTACAGGGGGCAGCATCCTTTCCCAGTTGATGGCCCCTTGGCAATTTTGGACACGATGGCCCACAGACTGCATCCGAATGTGGTCCAAGGGATCTGCGAAGTCTAGGTAGATTTTCAAGGGTAGTCAAGGCTTACCTCCAATTGATTAGCCTTGGTGCGGATTCACAAGATCTGTGGCTTGACTCCCTACTCTCAAGTAGGGCTCAATGACAGCCATCCATCATGTTTGCTGCCAATCGCATGTCCATTATAGATCAATTGAATTTTTGTTTTTGTCAATTGAATTTCTGAATGGCGGCAATTGTAACGTGCACGGGGGCTTTGGCCCAAGCCGCGAAGCAAAAGGCAAACTATGGTGAAGGCCATGAGCTCTGGTTTGGAAGGGATGTTGGCGGACACAAAAAAGGAGACAAACTGCCACCAAACTGGCCAGTGAGTATGTCAGGTTGAAGGGATCTCATTAAATAAACTGTAATTTCTGATGAAGTTACAATTTCTACAATACCCGCTGCAGCACAGAGAGCACTCCCATGAATGACTGTTTAACACCTGCCAGCGGGAAGTAGCCAATGCAATGCACGTATTTCTCAGGGACGATGGAGTATGGGATCCTGTAATACACAACTTCCACACGTGTGTGGGGACCGAATGCAGCATGGATGCAGCATTGTTCAGAGCCGCAACCGCACCTCGCCCTCACCCACAACAATCTCGCTATCCCGCACATGGCGAATGGACAGTGCCATCGCCGCTGCAGCGGTTTCACAGAACAGGAAGATGCAGGCCTCAAACCTCGGACCACAGAGTCACGGAGCTGCCAATCTACGCAGCTGTCTCATTGAGCCACAAGCATCCAAACGCAGAATGGTCACAACCAGTACGTGCTCTTTGTAGGATTGCCATGTGGACTAGGCGGCAGTTACCGCTGGCAACCTCAAAATTTGCTTGTTTTGAGTATTTTGTTGGTGGCCCTACCAATGTCAAAAGGAATAGGCAAGTGCAAAAGTGCCAGAGCATACAAATGCAAAAGAATCAAATTAAAACTCATCATCTGAAACAAATCTTCAAGACCGATTCTTTTGGACTATTCTCTAAGACAAATTCAATACCACATGTTGGAAAGAATGTCTCCATTGTTGGGCCCGGTCACGATCCACTGCGGGCACAGGGGCACTACGCCTGGGCGCCGTACGTCTCCCTGAGGTACTTGATTATTTCCGCGCTCTCGAACATGGACACCCCGGTGTTTGGATCCTCGATGAAGGGCACTTGGAACAAACCCATATATTTGTACAGCTCCTGTCGCTTGGGGCTTCCTCGGGCGCAGGACTTCTGTAGGTGTGGAATTTCCTGCCACAATAAGCGCCATCCACTGCTCAGCCGGGATATGCAAAGGAGATGCGGGCAAAACTATTCATCTATCTGTCAATCCATCAACAGATCATGCTACCTAGTGGATACCGTCCAACCATTCATCAGCAACCTACGAAACAGACTTGCTGCTGCATTTGTTTCCAAGAGACAAATGTCTGATTAAGAAGTCAGTCCGTCATAGGCCGATTGCTTCTGCCTTTATCCAATCAACCTATCAGAGCGTCACTGGCTCTGCTACGTCACTTATTCTTTGGTCATCAGTTTAGCTCACGTCACTGGCAAATATCACTCATTCCACACAGATTGTGTCCTTGCTCAAGCAATGTTAAAAAATATCCAACCCGGTTACCAACAATGCAACCTGTACATATACTAAACGATTGTTGTAATCCAATTCCTACCGTAGGGGAACGAGTTTTGTTCTTTTCTCAATATACAGAGAGCTGAGTGACAACTTCCCTTCGCCACTGAGCAATGTCAAGGCAGGCTATCGAATAGGATAACCATTTTAGTGGATATCCTCTTTGGCAAGGCACTAGCAGCGCAGTCTTCACACTCACCAGCTCCACCAGTGTCTCCCGGACGATCTTGCAGAATGGGCTCCCCTCGTAGCCCCAGTACACGATTGGCTTCACTGCCGCCTTACCGCCGGCAAAGGTCGTCCCCTTGCCGGCCCTACACACGCAAAGCAAGAAGCTGAGCAAACAGGCTGCTGTGCGCGTTCCCAAGAACCGAGCTTGTGGCATGTTAGCCACAGATGATGCTGCCTTTTGACGCTCCTGGTTGACAACATGCGTGTTATACTTTGGAGATATGTGCTTTCAACGCAGGAAAGTTGGTGTTCAATCGTCGCGAGGCGATTTGGGGCACCTTGCCCCATTTCAATGCCTATTGTCCTTTTCCATGTCGCACAAATTCCATTGGTGCACAAGAGCCTGTATCGCAGCAGCCCAGCACGGCCAGGATAAAGGTAATGTGCTGGAGCCAGTAAGAAGTGAACTCAGGGCGGTGGAGAGTCGGGTCTGCATGTGTTCAAATTCCACCATTACTTGCTCTACATGTACTTCAAAAAGTATGATTCTCCTTGGTAACCATAAGTCCCACATCATAGATGTTTTGTCTATTAGATTCACTGTGCGGTACAGGAGAGGGCACACTGTCAAACTTGGCCCCAACACATATTTGACATGGTAGGATTTGGTCCCAATTACATGCGGTTTGAATAATCAAAGTGCACATTCCAGCAATTCTGCATGGCACGTGCAAGCACACAAATGTGTGAGCCTGGAAGTGTGGGAAGCACATAGAGGGACCAGTGGTTGCTGGTGCATCTGGGGATGGAGGCAGGGGCACTGGCGTATTGTACTTAAGAAGCACCTATCATGATTGGGTGGTTGCAAAATGAAGTGACTGCCTTCGTTGCCGATTGAGCTGGCAGTTTTGATGTGTTGATCACGGGCATCGCCAACGCTTGGAGAAAGCTCTGAGCTTCAAGAAACTTTTTGGCATCTTCATTGCTCTCTGAATGTTTAGAGGTTAATGGCATTAGTGGCACAGGAACAACAGAAGCGGATCAGCTCCGTTTCTTTGCATGGTTTGTTCTTGACACACCTTTTGTTTTCCTTGACAATCTTGCACTATCACCACCCATGGAGTATTAAGTCACAGAGGATAGTTTCAGGAGAATAGGTATGGACAATTCACTACCCAAGTTCACACAATATCAATGGACTCGTTGTTGAGCCGAAATGCGCTCAGGCGACCAAGAATCATGTTCCTACTTGTAATCATACCAGCTTCAGTGCTACTACTCATGCTAGTCGCGATGCTAGCACCACATGAGCACCAGTACGCACATGCGCAGGATTGCACAGATCAATTTGTCGGTTCATCGACTCACCGGGGCAACATTGCCAATCCGCAGGAGACGGCAGTGAGGAAGGACGGCGACAGCAGAAACGGCACCTCGCCGTCACCGTACGTGTCGAACAGGTACTTGATGATGTCATCCGACTCGTACATGGACACCCCGGTGTTGGGGTCAACCAAGTAGGGAAACTGCGCCTTGCCGCCCAGTTCCACTGCCTTCGGGCGATAAGTGGTGCCGCCCTTGGGACAGGGATAGAAGAGCACGTCGAGGTCGAGGATGCTGACGGCCTCGCGGGCCTTGCGGCAGAAAGGGCAGCCCTCGAATTCGTAGATCTCCAGTGGCTGGTTCGGCCTCGGAAATTCTGCGACCTGAGGAACGTGCACATAGTGGCAACGTGGCATGAGCACATGTATCGGCATGAAAGCGAATACTATGCTCAAACATGGACATCAAAGCTCATGTCAGCATGGGAACATGAACAGTATTGATGCACAACGAAGTTGTATCAGGATTTGAACGACGAGTCCATTGGCTGCCATTCGGAGTCCTGTGCGATGGGCCCGCAACTGCGCACCTTACTGCTTTCATTGACCTGCCTCCCGTTGCCGCTGACAAAGGCGTAGCCCGAAAAGCCTTCTGGCGTCTGTTGGCCAACAGTCACAGTTGTCAAATGTAAATTGCACAGTTGTGAGTTTGTGGCATCAAAAACAACATACAAATTCGCAGTACGAAGCAATGTGCAAGGCATGTGGGGAAGCTAGGCAGTCATTGACATTTTAGGTTTGCTTGTCTGTCCATGGGCCGTCTATCCGACCGAATTTGCATCGTCTCAGCCCGAGCACTGCTTCATATGGGCGTTCCTTGCGGAAATTCAAGCTTCCTCTGCAGTATCGAAGTCTTCCATCATCAAAAGGACTATTTGGTTTATGCTGACTTCGTGCAGAGGTAACAGCTTCACTGGACAGGTCCATGCTTTGTCTTGAATTATGGGCCCACAGACAGCAAGCCACGGTGCAATACTTCAATGACATTAAATGTTGGAAAGTGGTGACATTGTGTGCAGTGAAGTGCGGCCTGCCCACACCCTATCGGCGTACAGGCGGACATTCTCACAGTTTGATGCCACGTTGTCACTGGCAACTTTTTGTTACTTGCTTGAATGGCCCCTTGCAGCACTGGAGGCCACTCAAACACGCTTGTGAATCGTCAGAGAGGTTTGGCCACGAGTCATGATTGTTGTGTGCAACAAACATCACAATCTGTATTGCATGAACTTGACCATGCAAACGAGCGCTCAGCAGTCACCTTTGGACAGACAAATGAGTAGAGTAATTCAAGGAGCCAAACTTGCAGGAAGTACCAGTGTCTGTGGGACCAATCACCTTGTCAATGGAGGCCTTGTACCCTTTTGTGAGTGCTCCACTGCCAAACCGCATGATGGTGGTCACAGCGGCCGTCAGGACAGCAACGCGGTTACCTTCAGCAATGGCAAAGCGCTTTGGCTCGGGCCCGTTGTACTCTCCCTCCTTGGTGGTCGAACCTTCAGTTGCAGTGGCCCTCCTCGTAGCAACACCCTGCTCAAAACCAAAGAATCTATCCGTTGGATTGCATTTGCTAAAACTTAATGTAACGTGGCAATGCACTGTGCTTACACATGCAAGGCGATGGCAGGCATTCACAAACGCACAGAAATAAGCAGAAACAAATAGGATAAAACGGGAAACACACAGCTATAAGGGACCACCACGGGATGCAAGTTAATGGAGCAGGCAGTGACGAAATGTGCCTGTCAGTTTGAACCATGTTGTCTGATGGCCAGGCACCAGATGGGCTGTCATGCAAGAAACTCCTCCTCTGTGAATTGTAACATCATTTTAGTGGACATTGACACAAAGGGAGCTCTAAGGACTTCCGTTTCGGGACCTGGGAATCAGCCCGTTTTAGTGGGGCTAGTGTATGGAGAAACATCCTGTTGCATGTTCTTGTTTGCTCCAATATATTGCATCACGTGCAGTATTGTATTGATATCATTTCTTGTTAAGCAGATGAAGATGACAGGGAGTTTCAATACTGGAATGTGTTCTGTGGGCACTGCATGGCTGCAGGTCTTCAAGTAGGTTGACAACTTGAAAACAGCCACAATAATCGACCAATATCTGTCCATCTGAAAATGCTTCCTTAGTAGTGGTGGATGGGAACTCATGTTCAACGGTGAAAATGCGTTTGTAAGCTTGAATTTGCGAATACACAATGCCAACAGTACAAACATGCACAACACCATACATTACCAATGGACCAATAGTAGCCACATTGACATGTGCACATCGGTTTGGAATGTTTGCAATTATCAACCAGTTCTGATTTTGATCGCCAGATCTGAAGCCTTCCCATTTCTGCCCCAGCATCAATCTCAATTATGATTGATTCAGCTTCCATGGCGAACAGTCACCATCCACATTCCTGGCAACTTCCACATAAGATTCAGTCCCATTACGAAACTTCAGCACGGTATGCCGCATAAGTTGCAGAGACGCCGCTTTGAAAGAAGCCGTCGGACGTCCCAGCCATAGTCTATTTTCTTCGTCAAAGCTCAAACTGGGGGAACCACGATCACCACAAGCTGTCGTGGTGTCCTGCCAATTCACGGTGAAGAATGCCGGGGTCGGATCGTCAGGACTGCCTCGATCGCCAAGCAGAGCGCATCGCCGTTGCATCTTCAGCTAAGCCCCAAAACTCTCTTCGCTTTCAATCCGTCGCGCACAGCGCCCGCGAGTCCGCTCCGCGGCTTCACGCAAATCGCCCCCTCTCCCCCCCCCCGAACTGAACCCTCTCGCAAAAAGCCCCGCGTTTCGCTCTCAAATCGAATTCAAGTGCACCCCCTCCCGCAGCCGACCAATGACTCAGGGGCCCCCTCCCTGCAGGACCGGGCAATTCACCGCACCCGCACTGTGCGCCCAAGCCGAGGACGATCCCAATCCCTTCCGGCGATCATTGCCTGCCCAGGGCCCCTTGGGAGGGCTTCGGGGCCGACCAGCCGGCCCGCCAAAGTCGCCAACGGCGCCCTCGCCGCTCGGCTGTGGGCAGCCACGGGCTTCATGGCGCTCCTGGCTGCGGGGGGGGTCGACCAGGGGATAGTTGGCGGGGAGGGGGTGGGTGTGGCCAAACGGGGCCAACCTAGTGAGTCATATTCCCTGACGTGGACGGCTGTGTTGCAAACGTGCGGATGACGATCGCGGAACCACCGGGGGCATACAATTACTGGCTGCACCAATCGGTGACTTTCTTCACCAAACCGGTGTGTCCGTTCACTCAACATCAGTACTTGAATGCATCAGCCACCTAGCTTACAGCCGGGTGTTCATTTACTTTGAAGGCTTCACCCAATGCGCTGTTGGCAATGGCCAACGGATGGACATCCCCACGTGTGCCCATGCATGTCGGCCAAACGGCAGCTTTGTCTCTTGCTGAAAATGTCGAGCTCTGTATTAGATAACGTATGTCTGTGGCCGTAACGTGCCATCCAAGCCACAAGGAGGGGTCGTTCATGTGCCAAGTATGCTACAAGCAAAGTACGAGTTTGCAGCAAAAAAGCCTGGATTCGGCGGAGCGGGCGAAAAACTGGAAATTCTTGGATAGTGGGAGGGACCGCGTTGAACAAATCAAATCTAGAACTGCGAGTCCCCACACCGCGCCAATCTGACAAGATATAGTGCAGACTTTCAGCTGGTATGCGGGGCGCTGGGCAGGACAAAGATTGTTTCAGAAGGCCTCCCTCTAGCTGTTGCACGAAACAGATTTGCAGCAAAACCTTTGGACGCGCTCCAGACGGGCCTGGGCGCCTCCTCCCAGAACAGGCAGTAGATTTGCTTGTCAACAGTGCCGTTTTCAGAATCTCAAAATGACCCAGCATCACTCATGCTTTCCCAAACCATCGCCCAGCCCATCAGCACAAGAACGCCCAGCGCACCAGCCTATCTATCGCAGAATTGATGCCAGCCATGCACAAACTCATGTCTTCCTCACACGATTGCAGGTCCATCATACATGCTATGTAGCATGAGCGCCAGCTCACAAAATTGCTTTTCCCTCGCATGACATAATGCTCTACGTATAAGCAGCCAAAACACATACATATTCAGCGTCAATCCAAACTATGAACACGAGCTCAACGGGTCCCAATTGTGCAGTCTAACTGTCTTCCTAGGTGCCGTTTTTCACTGGCGCCAAGCTTACCTTCCAGGCTTGGCACTCAGCAAGGGGGCGATGAACTTGGCAAAAGTTTGGAGCAACATTCCAGTGCCAAAGTCGCGCGTAACAACGTTTGAAACTGCCTCCAGAAACAATTTCGAGTTGGCAAAATTTGCAAGTTGAAGAACATCGGCAATTTTTTCCACTGCCAAGGATAGTAGCTGAGCTTACCATTTGCTAGCGTGCCCGACAAAGCGTCTCTAAGCTTCTACTCAATTGACCTGTCAAAAAAGCGTTTCCAAAACAAGGACAGACTCAAGGGATGGCACACGCTTAAAGCACAATGTTTCGCCATTCAACAGCGTCTGGAAAACGCAAGGGTGAAACAGTATCCACACACATGAGCGAACGCAACTTTTCATAAAACACGAATACTTCCTATAGAAGGTACTACCAAGTAAGAGGAACAAAACGCTAACGATTTAGTAAGTAGCAATGAGCGATTTGCTTGTTAATTAGTGGTTTTAAAGGATCATCGAAAACGATGAAAATTTCATCTCATTAGTTTGAATCGTTCTACGAAATCATTGGTAAGCAAGAAATTAATTGGCCTTGACGTTTGTCTGCCAGACGATCTACTTCGGTGAAAAACACTCAGCCTCAAGCAGCATGTAAATACCATCTGGTTCGATTCACGCCGTTGCGTCTATCTAAGGGCCACTACCGCCAGGTGTGCGCCATCAAAATTTCCCACAAAAGCAGTCGCACATTTGCCACCATTGGCTCACACCACTTCATTTGGATCCAACGGAATTTCTATGTTGACAACTTGAACCTTGAGCTATGCCGGCACTTCTGCAGGAACGGGTCTTTTAGGCCAATCTGCTTCGAGCGCCTAACCACAATTTTTGTTGTTGCATTGCGTTATGGAGGTTTATGCACTTGTGTAGTGTAATTGGACTTTGTATGCACTGCATTATGATGTTGCGCATATTTGTCATCCATTGTGATGGTCCTCCTGTGAGACTGACAAAACGCCTCGCTTTGGTGAACAGTGGCCAACACGCCGGCAGGACCTCAACTTGCAACAAACGTCATCACCGAATTCGGCAGCTGCTAGCATGATGACGCCGGCTGGTTAACTATAGCACAATGGCCCCTGGCCCACTTTTGGCCCCCAAGAAACTGACGACGGTAGCTGGGGGTGCTTTGTTACAGCCATGGTTATGCAGAGTCGACCTGGTATCGCGTTTCAAAGAACATAACCTCCACGATAACCGTGTTTCACTGCATTGCACAGATTCCATACGACGACACATGCAGTCATTCACCACTGAAACAGAATCAATTGGTTCTACAATTGCAATTGTGGGTTTGTGGTTACTTTAAGTGAGCGGTCGGCCCAGGACCTACCCTGGCGCCATTGAACCGTTCCCTTGAACAGGCATGAACACTTACACGTGACCAACATGCCACGGGTTGCTTGGCACACTTGTGACATCGCGTTGGGAGAACCAAGCCTTGTGTGTTGGTGTGGTTGCATCTGTTGCGGGCACCTCCCTCATTGTTCTAAGGGTGGCTGCAGTGTGCGGGGTCGCTGCTTGCCGTGCTTGGCCAAATGCAACCAAACTATACACTGATACGGCGAAAATGGAAAGAGCGGTATTGACAGACGACCTTGTGTTTAGGGGCCTCTCCCCCAAGTGGCCTTTTGCCCAGCTGTAGTCCGTTGCCGTGTGCCCAGGCCTGCGGGTCACCTCAGGGGTTACCCCTCGATCCTGCCGTCCTTCATGAACACGAAGAAACCCGTTTTGATGAGACAGGGCCCGCCGGGCTGATCCAACGGAGCGCCCGCCCGCCGCCCTCCCGCCAGCAGCTTTCTCCCCTTCGTCGAATGTTCGGCAGAAAAGTGACGAGTGAGCGCCCCCCGCCCCGCCCAGCACACCCTGACGAGATTCCCAAGCCAGGGGCCAGCCAGCCCCCGGCGTAGTTACCGCCCCTGCGTACATTACCCTCCCCGCCCCCCAAATGCGGCGCGCTGGGGTCCTTTCCTAACCGACATTCCCCTTCGCGACCAGTATCTGTCGTGGTTCCGAGTTGCGCGGGGTGGCACCAGCGCGGGCGGGGCGCCGGGCGAGCAGCTGCGGGCCGTGGCCCCCGCACACCCCTCGCCGGCGGCCGGGGCACCCCCCCGCGGACATGCCCGCATGCCCCTCCTGAAGAGGAAGCCGTACGCGCCTGGGGTCGGGCTGCCGCCCGACCTCAAGCATGGCGAGCAGGTCTTCGTGCTCCGCCTCACGGGGGAGGCCTTCCGGGCGTACGGCGACTACCTGGCCAAGATGCGGCTGTACCAGGGACGGGTGTGGTCATGTCGCTACACGGGGCGGACGGGGCTGACCTACGAGGAGGCGCTCAGGGAGGAGGCCAAGGCCACCGCTCTGCTGGCGAAGGTGGGGGCGTCGAATGCCGCCCATTGGCGGAGCATCCCTCCCCATTCGGGGGCGAGTGCCGATGCCGGTTGGGGGGCATCGGAGAGCGTATTTTTGGCGGGGTGCGAGCGGGTTGGGTGTGTCTGCGGCAGTTCCCGGCGGAGTGCGAGGAGGTGGCAATTCGGATGGTGCACCACTGCTCGGCGCGGCTGGATGAGCTGGTGAACCGCGTGTACGAGGCCTTCAGGCCCAGGGCGGAGGGCGGCAAGGAGAACGAGGGCGCGGACCGCGTGCGCCACCCGCTGCCCCGATCGGTGATCCGCCGATGGGTGCAGGAGGTGAGGGCGGGCTGCGAGAGGGGCTGGGTTGGTGGGGGGTGGGTGATTGTAAGGGGGCCTGGGATTGCGCATCATGTGGGATTCGTTACGGGCGGTTCGGCGCTGATCGGATGGCATTGGATGGGGCAGGTTGCCGTGCAGGAGCGGGTCGAGGGGAGGCGATCTGTGTGGGTGGCCAAGGGAGAGTGGGCGGCGAAATACGGCCTGTGCAGGGAGATCCCGGAGGCCCTGAGGAGGGAACTGGTGGCGGGGGCCAGGCCGGCCGGGGCCAGGGCGCCAGGTGGGTCCCGCGGGCGCGCTCGACGCCTCCGGGCGCCTGCCGCTGGATTCTGGCGGGGTCGCCGCGTTTCTGTCGCCGAGGGCGATCCGACGGCCCCGCGCGTCGTGGGGTGGCTTTCGGCCGTCCGACAGCGCGTGGGATTTGGCCGAACTGATTGGCGACGGCAAATCTCCGCGGTGCGGAATCGGGAGGCGCTGGGGCCGTTGGGCGTCGTGCCAGTGCCGCTGACTGTTGAAAGTCCGCGCTGAGGCCAAGACGTCGTTGACGCGAGACCTCCGGGGCCCACGGAGGCAGTGTGATGCTGTTTTGCGCGATATTCGACACGAGCTTGCTGGGGGAGGGGGTGTTGGAGGAGAAGGATTGCCCTGTGAGACGATCCAAGGAAACTGCACAGGAAACCTCCAAAAGTGCCGAACGCTAGAGCAGGCAATGAATCCGTAGCTTCAGGCAACACACCTTCACCAGCACACATGCCCTGAACTGTCATGTGATGTGGCAGCGCTGCCTCACGTTGGCCTTGGAGCATTTTTGCCGCCGACTGCCACTCTGATTGCCTACCATTCTCTGCTCAGCAACATTCTGCTCGCAACTTGCCCAGTGCCTCCCCCAGGGCGAAAGGGCGTTGTTTCACCCAGCGAAGGCGGAAGTCATCAAGTTTCACAGCTCATGGTGTATGATGGTTGCGTTGCCAGGTCCTGAGAGTCAACAAGATAGTGCTATCCGACGCCCGGAGTCGTCACAGGGTGACCCCAACACACACATCTCTCGGCAGTCTGGGAGGGAAGGCGGGAATGGCAGATCTGGCCTCAGGCCCAATTCTTCCACCACTCAGCTGGCCATGCCACTCAGAGGCGCCACTCAGGGCCCTGCCTCGCAGGTAACAGCACCTTCAAATCTAATTGAACTTGGGTTGGCATGAGCATGGTTGGTGTGAAGCCATTGCCAGGAGATCAGTAAACAAGCTGTTTAAGCGCTCAAATGCCAATTTTGATGCTGAAATCAAGAGGCCTAATTGTAGCCTCTAAGCATGGCCATTGCTTGCACATGCTGGTGTCCAGCTCGTCCAACAGGGCGGAGACGTTGAAGGCATCAGTGGGGGAACCATATGGACTGAGAATGTAGTATTACTCTTTAGGGAGCCACTTCTCAGTGTTCACAATTGTATTGGAGCTTAAGATCCCACAACAACGCAAATACTAACTAGCAACAGGAGGCTGCACTCATTATTCACAGTTCTGGGGCAATCATGGAGGCGGTGGAAGCCTTATGGTGATCTGTGTGTTCCTGTGGTATATTCTGGAATGAAACGTCACTGCCAAATCTGAATGTGCTCCTGACCCCAGGGGAAATCAGCCAAAGGCTGCACTTGAGACTGTCAGCGGATGCCAGGGTTAGCCCTGCATTCCAACGTGCCAACATTAAAGAGATACAAAAGCAAGCAGCAAGTTCTGTTGACTCTCTTGTTTCATTTCCTGTCTGCACTGGCAGAACAATGCTCAGAGTGGCTGCATTGCTGTTATCCTTTTGCATTGACTGCAGGGACAGTTTTTCCCTTTGTTATTGTTTTGATTCGAAATATGATCTACTTGGCGTGATATAGCGATGCAACAAGTTGTATTTGTTGTCTCGAGACTCCTTGGCTGGACATACTTAGAGGCTGGCAATGGATGTGGAGGTACAACCAAATCCCAGGCTGAGGCCCCTCCTATGTCGCTGAGTCGTTTTGTAACCTGCACCAGTCGCAGGACTGTGATGCGACAGTCATTTTGTGCCTGTTATGTGGCCATGTTGGGCACTGGGTTGCTGTTGCATTATTTCTGGTGGCAGCTGAACAAAAGGGCATTTTCTTGGGGATTGAAGGGCTGTGTTTGTTACTCCCCAGGGCTCAAGAGGCAACTTTCGGACTGGCAGTATGAAGTATGCAGCATTCCAAGTTCTGAAATATGCTGGAGCAGAAGGTGCCACTGCAGGTGTGTGGGGACTGAGGGGTGAGGGGAAGGAGGACATGGCACTTGCACAACTTGAGCAGCAGCATCCATCAGGAGGGGTTTGGACAGAGTCCTTATGTCCCTGCATCCTTGTGATGGCACTTTTGCATTTAACAAATGCACAACCCTCCTGTCCATTAGGCTTCTGGTGGCTGGCTCTCAGTTCGAGCACAACATCGTTGTCAGGCATGGCTGGCTCAATTTCACATGAATGATTGTATGAACTGCAGCAATGCGACAATGCTTGCTGGTCATGGCACATAATCCCACTGACTCCAAGCTCTTAGCCAGCATCAATTTTTGTAACCATCCACAAAGACCACACCATTCTGACACTAGACACTACATTCTGGTGACTCCATTGCTCCCAGTCAGCAGCCACCTCTGTACATGAATCTCTACATGGACATCTCTTTATTTTCCTTCTGACCTACATCGCTGAAAGGTGGCGCAGGCTGTTGACGTCATGTTATGCTGCTGGGAGCGGAGTTGGGTTTAGTGATATGTTTAAGGAATTCAACATCATTATCATCATCATCATAAAGACCTCACAGTGCTTGCTGAAAGGGAGCACCCCAGCCTCCATATCACAAGAGGATGTACACAAACAACCCAGCAAAGTCCCCAGGGCCATTTCAAAGGCAACACACTTAATGTTAACACTATGCCCTGCGGGTCTGCTTGCATTGACATATGCTCTTTCGATGGCAGTCACAAAACCTCTCTCCTACTTCCTGCAGTGGTGAAGTAGAGTGCAACATTGAAGCTCCTGACTGTGCCTCTGATGTGCCTTGCACTGGAGGGGAAAAAGATGTTTAAGGCAGACTGGTTTCATGACACATCAGCAGCACTTTCGGCTGTTTGGCAGGGACCAATAAGAAAGCCACTTCCATAGCAATGCATGTGAATATGAACAGCCTCTGTCATCGCCTAGCAGGTAAATAGGTATTGATTCTTCAGGCTTTGTCAATCATGGCCAGTTTGTTTATGTGAGTTTTGCACTGTGGACCCATGAGTGGCCACATGGGCCCCCCACAGAGCGTGCATGCAGCGTCCTTACCTGTCATCGGAAAGCTGAACAGCAGTGGCCCAGCATTCCACAGCACCAGAAGGGTCTGACCAAGCTATGCGATCGTGTAGGCACCAGCTTTCTCAAAATGAGTGATCTGGAGTGGGTGTCTAGTGGTCAGCTGAGCCAGTCGACAGTAATGTTGTGCCATGTGCTTGTGCGCTGTCCTGGTTGCATATTGCAAAGGTTGACAATTGTGGTCAAGAGTGCTGCACTGCACTATTTTACCATTTGTTCACCGTTGTGCTATGCTGTCTTGCAGATGAGATAATCAAGCAGGCCACAGAGAAGAACCTCAGATCTGAATGGGGCGCCGGTTCGCGTAGAACACTCCTTGCTGTGAGTGGTGGCTGCACACCCTGTCTGTTGGCTTTCTGTCATCTGTGAGTTTCTGCCACTCAATCCCACACTTTGAATTCTGCTTCTTAGTTTGTTGCACTGGTGTTTCGCATCGTTTGAACTTTTGATCGCTTAATCGTTTGGTTCGTTGTGAAGATCACTTTTCCTGCCATTCAGTACAGTAAAGTGGAGTCTGTCTCTGATGTGGTAGCATCATGGGCCTTGTGCTAAATCGCAACGAGTATCAAGGCAGGCTTTGATTGTCCAGCAGTGGCCTTCACACGCGATGCGTTGTTGTGAACATGCAGAGCTTGAACCAAGACAAGGTGTTTGCAAGGACTGGGATGGGAAGATACGCCCTGTCAGCGCTCACAGGAGGGCTGGACCTGAGAGTCAGAAGGAAGAGTTACTTGCAGCAGGTCCCGGGTTCAGTGGGTTTGTGACTGGGAAGTCATTTTGGAGACAATCAGATGTGAACAACATTTATGTGACATTGCTGAACTTGAACAGGGCAATGTTGACGTTGTTTAACAGCTTGACATCGCCTGATAGGTGCAAGCACAGTGATTTCACCCGCTGTGATAAAACATAATCGACTGCAGAAAAATTTGATGTTTGCACTTTGCTATAGCTTGTGCAGTGATAATGTTTTGTGTTGTAGTTGTGTACATATGCAAGTAACTACTGGCAAGCTGGGGCAGCCTTTCTGTATGTTTGCCTTCAGAGTGCAGGACACTGTCGTTGCTTCCAGCGATGGTGGGCATCTGTGCATCCAGAGCATGTGTTTGGTTCCCATGTTAACGTCCAGAGTTGTTGCCGCACAGCAGGGTGAGAACGGAGAGAACGTTGGGCCCACTGGATGCCAGGAAGCATCCCAGGGTGCACCCGAAGGAAGAGTCCTTGAAGATGGGAGGTTTCAGGTATCAGAGCCTGGAGTGAGTGGACTGGCAGGGTGAGTGAGGGCTGCATGTCAATGTGAATGCATCCTTAAAGGAAAGAACTAAACCTGGTACAAGTTTTGCCTTGCCTGGCATGCGCCTACAGCTAGGTCACGTCACCGTTGCCTATTGCTGTTAACAAATGCATAACACATGTTGTAACAAAGGTGGAGAACATGCCACACAGCGGTACCACCTCAGGAGCAAGAGCACCTGTGAGGCTGTTTTCTGTGCTGCAAAATGGATTTAGAAGTCTCAAGTGCAAAGGGGAAGCACACAAAAAGGTGCAACATCTACTGCGGTAGGACAGGGTAGCCCATATGAGCAGAGTTGTGAGTAGAGGTGCCATGCAGGAGAGCAGCACGGGTGGCTATCGGCTGGTGTCCAGTAAGCAGCGCTATGCTGTTGTTCAGTACACTGTATGTACAGATTGCACAAGGGCATGGTGTAGTACACTGTTGTATTGCAGCAGTTCACACACTTGCCACACCTGCACAGGCCTCAGCTGACGACCACGTGCCCCAAAACAGCACCATCAAGTGCATATTAGGCAAGAGATTAAGCGTACACATTCACCTGCAACTGGTATTGCACAACATACTTGCCAATAGCCATTTGCAGAGTGGTGTCCTATGTGTTTCTTCAGGACATGCTCAAGTTCTGGGACAGGCGCACCTGTGGCCCCAGATCCCATTGCCATGGCCGAGCAGGTCGAGGCACGCCAGGCGGCAGTTCTGAAGCGTGCAAAGGCACAACTGGAGCACCTCAAGGGCAAGCTGAAAGATCTGCAGCGGAGGATGAAGGAGAAGGAAATGGAGATCAAGCACCACCCTGGGACACCAACCAAATCTCAGACGCCTGCCCAGAGGTGGGGTGATGTGCTGGCCTGGAACTTCTTTGCAACAGAACGAAACTCCCTCGTGCACTGGGCAACCCCCTCCTGATGCTTGATGCTTGTACATGGCACAGTGAAACGTGGCGTGTCAGTGTCAAATGCACAACACCAAAGGCAGCTATGTGAACTGTGCCCTGTGAAGGCTGCTTAGAGGCTGGCCTGATCATTCAGCACAGCATGAGCTGCTGTGCCCTGATCGAATGTGTGCACTCCAATTTATGTCACCCTGTTTGGCTCGTTTGCCAATTTCAGTTTTTTGTCTGGAAAGCTGTATCCATGATCTCCTTGGGACGAGAAACCAAAGTTCTATCTGGCTGGCTTTGTACTGCAGTGAACGGCACTGAAACAGTGCTGGGGAGCCAGGTAATGAAACTGGGTCATTCCTCACAGCCTTACACCTTTCACAGGGGATGCAAGTTGACTGTTGCTTGTTAATTTTTGTATCATGCATGGTGTGTATGCCACCACACGATTCTATACCTATATCTATATTTCTTTTGTATTTTTTAGTATATCATTTTACATTATCTTTGGAGTTGTTTTGCTGTGTTGGTTGAATTTGAGTATTGAAGGTCGCAGGCTGTAAAAATCAGATAGGCGAATGGGCTTGCGAGTGTTGAAAGATCGTGCACCATTGCTGTGGTGCTGATGTGCAGTGAGAGATTGAAAAAGGACAGGGTGAAGAGCAAGACTGTGCTGCGGAAGGCGGTGAAGTTGGATGAGAAGGCGATCAAGGCCGTCTTAGAGCAGATAGAAGAAGCAAAGAAGCAGGTTGGGGTTGAGACAAAGGCAGCTGCTGAGGCTGCGCGCAACACAAGACGGTGGGTGGGGCTGCACATTGGTGTGATTCGTGTGCTTTGGATACTTCATTCTCTTTTCATTTTGCTTTATTGTAAAACCATGCAGTTGATGGCATGTCACTTTATTCAATCGCTAAGTGAAGCTCCATGAATTTGGTGTCCTGGCTCAGGGTGCTTCCACCTTGCAGGTAATGAATGCAGGAGGCCTTTGGCTGCTGGGGAGTGACTTGGATGCTGGGCATTTGTTCCAGCTATACTGTTCAGAGTACATGAGGTTTCAACAGAAACCATATCATGTCTGATACTACACCTCAAAAATGCCTTTAGCATGTCCACAATCTGAAAATCGTCTCTTTTACTTGGGCCAATATTGACCAGTTAACACAAATGAACAATTGGTATGGGTCACTTATGTTGATTGCCGGTTGCCCCTTGCAGGGAGAAAAACAAGGCTGAAAGGGAGGCAGAACGAGCTCGCCGGAAGCAAGAAGCCCAGGATGCCAAACGGTACCCAATCGATGACCTCCTGCTGCTGGAGGAACTGCAAGACAAAGCCAAACAATGGGGTGAGAAGTGGAGTTCCTGGATGACTGTTGTGACAGAAGCCATGGCAACAAGCCTCTACACCATGGCAGGCGTTGACACAGAAATAATGCTGGCCTTGTGCATCTTCAAAGCAATGGCAGTATAACTTTGTGTGGATTTTGCCTTTGTCGTCCCTCTATGCTCTTTCACTAACGCTTCTCGGCCCCAGATGTTTCCAAGTTCAGATGATATGCTTCTCATGTTTCTGCATCGTCATTGTTAATTTCCAGCTACAGTCATAGAGATCAGCATAATCGGTTTTGCCTTTGCTGCTGCCTCAGATGTGTATGAGAAGAAAGCCCATTCATAGCAGCTGAACAGCAAAAAGGAGCAATCAAGGCACAGAACATGCAAAGATGTGTACAGAACAATTAGATAGTTGTCAGCAATCGTGGTGGACGTGGCATTGGCACATGTTTTGTAGCCTGTATGTGTGACTGTACGCAGTTGTCATCGTCCTATCATGGATCACCGTTCTGACTTCCAGAATACTGGTCGCAGGGCAGCCAGCAGTTCCACAAGACGTGCATCGCCCCACTGCCTTTTCAGACGTGAACAGTGAGACAACGTCACGGATGCTGTACGTTTCAGACTTTCTGTCCGAGTTTGGACCCAGGTTGCACCTGCGACCAGTGCACTTCACAGAGCTGGAAGCTGTGCTCAATGGTAGGTTCCCATTGGGGGTGGCCTCCTGGATGGTGCAACAGTGATGCTAAAACACCAATGCGCACTAGTGCTGAATTTCGCAATTGGAACTCGTTGATGCCCAGCGTCTATAGGAGAAAACAGCGTTGAATTGATTTTACCCAATATTGTCGCATTAAGCACATGAGCAAACTTACCAAGCAATTGTGCTGGTATGCCAGTGACAGAGGTGGCACTGTCAGCGACTGCAGTCCATCTTCATGGCATTTGCAGCACTTCGAGTGTGGTTCCTTTTCTGGCACTCAAGCCCTTCTAGTTATTTCCAGTCCAAAATGCGAAAGTGCTCCTGCTACATTTGCAATATCAGTGGTGCAAGTTGCTGTCATGAGCTTGGTGGTAGCTGCTGTGGTACATGTGTGGAATTGGATCTTTCTGCAATCTTTAGTTATGAACATTTGCTGCTGGACAAAGCATAGACCCTTCACCAGAATTAGCGATGTTTGCACTGATCCCATCCCTGCATTTTTCGTTCATGTCCGCGCAGCCCTATGTACTGCCAATCAACTATAGGCAAGATGAGGAGAAAGAAATGGAAAGGGGTAGAATAGGGCTTGTCTGAGAGCTTTGTAGCAATTGGGCACTTGGGAAACTTGCCCTGGTTGTGTTGTAACAGTTCCATCGCAACTCGCAAGGTCAGCATGTCTGATCATTTCTGCCAGAATGTGGCAAGGTGCTGCCCCTTGCAGCTACCATGGTGGCTACAGGCAAGTCTTCTTGAAGACTGCTGGTTCAGAAATTTCTGCACTGCTGTGTTGACAGTTGTGCATGACATCTCAACAGCCAGGCAGCTCTTCAGTTGCTGCGTTAGAGCAGACCTGCACATGATGCATTGCCATGCCACAGTTCATAGCTCAGTGAGTTGGGAGCAGTGTCATCTGTAGCACTCAGATGGGGACTGCAACAGGTGGCAGTTGATATGCAAACAGCGCTGTCTTGACCGTTGTTGCTCAGTAGCCAAATTGTTCCCCACAGGCGGCATGGTGGGCATAGACAGGTTTGGCACAACTAAGAATGGCATGGACGGAGGGATATCACTTAGCACAGTGTATGAGAAGCTCCTCCAGCACATTCTGGATGACCTCACAGAGGAGGGCCTCGGCGACCGACACGAGCGGCGGCTGTGCTACGTCAATGGGCCTGGCACCTGGCCCGAAGTGCTCCGGAGGTTTACTCTCAGATCAGCAGGTGGGAGGGAGCCTCCCCTTGGTACACTTTGAGTTGGGGTTGATCTCGCGACCATGGGTTGCTTTTTTGATCCCTGGGTCACACATCTTTGTGGTGTTCCAATTGTATGGGAGCACCCTGAACCTACAGTCTGGCTATTGTTCATGGCTTGGTAAATTGTCCCTGATAGTTGGGGATGCATGGCAGTGCCACCGCAAGTCTGGAAGAGATCAGACCACTTTCCTGTCAAATTGTGAGTGCGCCACCATTATATATATGCATGGAAGCATATGGGAGGGAGCTGTTGTTGGTTGATCAGATTGCTTGAAGTGATCTAAAGTCATCTACACCATCAGGCATTGTGTCCTAAATTAGGCCAGTTTAGTGTGGCCGACCTAAACACACGAGTGGGATTTGCTGTTGCTGGTATTACCTTACAGTAAGTAGCAACGCTAAACATTGTTGATTGCTGATTGATATGTTTGGTGCAATAGTTTGGAATGGAGATATGCTTAAAAAGCAGTATGATGTTGCTGTCCCTTGAAACCTCTGAAAAAGGGTACACAAATGACAACCCAGACCAGAATGTGGCCGCTGTTGTCTTTTTATAGCTGGACGTTTCAGACAGGTGCTGCCTTAGTCACAGCAGGACTCGGTTGACTGTTTGGGTGCCAGAGAGCAGGGTGCATGGCCTATTTCTCAATGGTGTGTGTTGCCCATTTCAATGAACTGTAAGTGTGGGATGTGTAGAATGACTGTGTCTTCATGGTGGAGGGCCAGTTTTTGACCTGGACATTCAGCAGTGCTTTGGCCACTGAACACGCATAGAACTCAATTTGTTATTCTGGTACAATGCAGTAGGACCTGACCTGAACCAGTTGGGGTAGGGTCTGGACTTTGTGTTATTTCAACTGGAGCAATCAGCTTCGTAACACCTCGCTGTCAAAGCAGTTGTTATTGTTGTATTGAATTTAAATACTACAGATATCCTTTAAATGTTAGATTTCATGGTCTATTTACTGTATTGTTAGTTGTATCGCATCTAATAGACAAGGAAACCTTCTTGCACTGCTGCCTTATCTTGTTGTGTATCCTATGTGGGCGTGGTGCATAACAGACAAGCCTGACAGTGCCGTCCCTGAGACCACGGCCGCTGCTGCTGCATGCCTGGGATCCCTCGATGTCAACGAACTGGAGACCCTGCAGCACCTGGAGCTGCTGGAGTTCCTGTGCGATGAGGTCCTGAACACGGAGAAGATCAGAGACACTATGCAGCGTGAGTCATCTACCTGAGTGGCAGTGGCATCCTATTGGTGTTGTGAGCTTTGTGGCCAAGGTCGTTTTTGAGGTTTTTTTATGGCCTCCACCATGCATGCTTTTGTGCCAGCAGCAGTTCTAAAATAGCCTTGTTGGTCAGCATTTAAATCCATAACTCACAACAATTCTGTCAGCAAAATGGCAGTTTGATGCCAGGATCTGAAGCTTTTAGAGTCGAGCACAGAGAAATGCAATCCATTTGGTCGAATCACAGTGCACGACAGGAATGGCTTTTGCATGTGCAATGCATTGACAGGCATCATTTCGTCTGGTCAGTTTGTGCGATGCTGTTCATATTCTTTGCTGCGACCTGTACAGAGCGAATGGACGAGATTGAGGATGTCTCTCGTGCGATGCGCGTCACCATGGGGGAGGAGAAGCGCAAATTGCGTGAGCTGCTAGATGCTGAGAAGGAGGAGAGGAAGCGGAAGAGGGAGCAGGAGGCAGCAGCTAAGAGGGCTGCAGAAGAACAGGTGGGCCTGTGGGCACTACCCCACCCCACCCACACACACTTCTGTACCAGCAGATGTTGCATGCTGTTTATGTAGCTGATGTTGTAGATGTATCAATGATGTGACAATAATTGTAGCTGAATGTACTGGAGTTCAGTAGTAACTGTGGTCACGGTGGGACTGTGATACTATCAGTGCTGTATGCTGTGAGATTGTTTTATGTATCAAGGTTGTTTTGATAGATTGCACTGGATGGATGTACTGACAACGAACAAACAAACGCAAGCACCATCAAGACAGTGAAGGGCCTCGACGTGTAAGCTTTTGTGAACTACACAGTTGCAGCTCATCAACTGTACTCAACTTTGTGGTATGTGCAGTGGTTTCTAATTCTCTCTGTGGCTTCCCAATCGTATGGTATGAGACACGTGCAACCTGCTACCAGTATACGGAGAAGAGGTGAATGTCTTCACAGCACTGAACTGGCAGATGTTTCCTGATATCATAGAACGTGTCAGTAACACACCTGTTGAACAGTTTAAAAATGGGACTTGAAGCAGGCTTGTGTACAGAAGCACATGGCTAGAAATTCTATAGGAACTTGAATTCTTGATAGCACCACAACCCTGTGTTTAGGATGGATGGACCTGTGGTGTCTTATTGGTGGCTCCCATTGGCGTTATGTTCACACAGACAGCAACCAAAGTTAGTGCTGGAGTCTCTGACGAGGGAGGTGCCCCTGAGAGCAAGAAGGCCAAAACGGCTGATCCTGACAGTGACAGTGAAGAGCCTTGTTTTGACCTTCCTGAGGACGTCCGGGAGTTCAAGGGAGACCCAACAGACCGCAAGGCGCTGATTGCATTCAGACAACAACAGCAGGTGTGTGGCTATCTGGCAGTGCCATTTCCTGAAAGTGGCAGACCACACAACTTGCACCTGTAAGGTGATAAATTTGTGCCATGGTGGAACCAAATACTGTTATCCATAAAATTTAGGAAATGAAACTGCAATCCATTCGCAAACTGCTGGGATGCCCTTCCCCATCCTTCCAGTTGTGCATACAAGTGGCAAATGGCTGGACGGTGGTCTCAGTCATGAATGTGCTTGGCCCCAGTTTACTTTTGTCTGCTGTACACTCCCATGAACGTGCATCCTGTGATCTGTCAGTTCTAGCAGCTCGCACTGAATTTTAGATTCCATGCTGTCCCTTTCATTTTCACTCGATTCTTCAGAATCAATTCATGCTCCACAAGTCTCATCGCCTCTCCGAGTGTTGGTACTGCACTGCAATGCCCTTGACCTGCAAAGAGGTGTCCATCGCTGTTGTAGCATGCCATGCAATTGCTCAGATTGTCAACTCCAACATCCACAGCATATGCAATTCTTGATTTCCTCTACAATATCCAAGAACGCTTCGGCAGCCCGATTTGCCATTCTCAGCACAGGCAGAGCTACTGCTTGGACATAATTCAGTTGCATGGAGTGCGGAGCAGCAAATTTGGAAGCGGATATACAGTTTGGTTGTGTATATGCTCAGGTAATAGGGGAGGCCTGGCGGGCCTAAATGTCTGATTTTTGTTGCCAGGAGTAACTGCATCTCCTTAATGAATGTATGAATAAGGGAAAAAATGTCATGTGCATGCATGTATTTGTCAATACATAAAGTATGTGGCATTCAATGCACCTGGTTCTTCAGCAGGATGAATTCAGAATCGTTTGTGCACGACAGGCAGAGAAGAGGCGTCTAGAGAAGAAGCGACAGAGGTGGGAGGTGGAACAACACCAGATGAAGAAGGCCAGGGAGGCCACCATGCGCTCAGTGTTGGCAGAACAGCAGAGGAAGGCACGGCAGAAGGCTGACGCCGAAGGTGCAGTGACCAAGACGCAGGAGGCCTATGAGAGGGTCCTAGACAAGTATGTTATACGGCGTGTCCCCTTGGGCCTGGACCGTCACCACCGCAAGTACTGGTGGAGCCTTGGAGGTCGGAAGCCCGTGTTGTACGTGGAGGATACCCTGGGGCGGTGGGGCAGCTACTCCACGATGGAGGAGCTTGAGAAGCTGCTGGCATCGCTGGACACACGGGTATGGAACAGCTTGTATCTGTTTCGGTGTTGATTGTGTTGTGCTTCAAAGTGTTGCATCACAATTCAGAGTCCAGGTATGGAATTGGCTGGAACCAGAACTGGCAGGCAGTGAGCAACTCCAGAGGCAGGAGGCAAACCAAAAGTTGGCTGCCTGTTCTGCATTTCAGCAATCGACAGCAGACAGCAGGCAGAGGGATGTCCTGAATCAGTTTGTGATGCTTGTGGGGGGTGCTGTTAACCAACAGATTGCATACAGCGAAGATGCCTGGGTTGACAGGAAAGACAGGTTGCACTGTGGCTATATCCATCCTTGCGTTGTGGAAGTTGCTGCCTGCAGTTCAGTGGCTTGTATCACATTTTGTGCAAGGGCCGTAACCTGTAAGGTTAAGAAATCTGCAGTGACTGAAGATTGCCTTTGAGCAGATAGGGAATCTAGCATACTATGCGCAACCCCTACTGAGTAACATTTGTATGTGGCCCTCTTCCATACTGGTAAAAACATATACACAGATGAAGACAAGCAGATAGCAATAGGTATGAATTCATGAAAAAGTAGTTATGTGCAACAGATACTGTAACGGGCTGCACAGAAGCCATTACTGCAATGGTAGGACATGAAATCAGAACGCATTGGACAATGAGAAGCATTTTTGCATTCACTGTATGTGTCTGTTCCTCGATTTCCAGTTGGCCATAGCTCCCCAAATATTCCTCTGTGCTGAGATCGTGGCTGTGCAGGGCATTCGCGAGGTTGAGCTCCACAAGACCCTGGAAAAGACGCTGCCAAGGATGGCCAAGGCAATCAAGAGGGCGATGTGTGAGCAGAACAGGGCAGTCAGCAATGCAGAGCGACCACCTTCCAGGGAGCAGCCAAAGAGGGAAGCAAGGAAGGGAATGCAGAGCAACGGCATTGCTGTCACAGGTATGTGCACTTGTCAAGCTGCTGCGAGTATGTACTGTTCTGCTGCAGGCTGAGCAGGGACAAGGCTGTATCAGGCACGTCATATTGAAAGGGCAAAATTCCCCTTGTCAACCGATCATGGGTGTGGGGATGGCGAGGTGTGAGTGCGGTGGGGTTGGGTGGGGAGGGATGGATATTTATGCATGTACATGCGAAGCACTTTGTGCATTGTATATTGTACTAAGCTAGGCAACTGTTACGACAGGCATTCCTGAAGAGCCGCCTAGTACTTGTTCATTGTCATCATTATTGCTGTTAGTATCACGCTGTTACCATTTTTGGTATACTATCGTGGTTGCTAATATTGGCCTGTCTCTGCTCTGCTGTTTCGCCCATGCGCAAGAACGCACAATGGAGAGAAGAACAGACAGGAACCACAGTTTCAAGAGGCAGTGTTGACAATGTTTCAACCTCCTTGCAGGGGGCAATTGTGTGATTTTATCCGATGATCTGTCAAATGCTCACAACAAGTTGGCACACAGTTGAATTAGATCGGAGCTTGCACATTTGCACAAATGCCGCATGATAGGTAGACAGCATTTGCCAGACCACCACATTACCAGTAGCCAGAAAAGACAATGCCTGACTTGGTTGTGCTCTGCAGCAGTGCTGCCATTGTGTTATCCCAGTTCTGTTGACAATGATCGGAAAAGATGCCAGAGAACCCAATCTCGGGGCTTTTGCTCAGCTTGAACCAAAGTTTTTTTCCCACCTGGAATTCATGGTACAGACCCCAAGACGTCAGGACGTCTTGTCCAAAGCTTAGAACCATTGTACCTTGACCAATTCCAAACCTTTGGAATGTCAACCATGTGTGAAATGTTGGAAAATGAGTATGTAGATGGTGGGAATATTGTGTGTATTATTAATATGGTCGCTGGGTTCATGTCTATCTTATGTATGCATCAACCTCTCCCTGGCTCAGGCTCCCATTCCATGTGGTTTCTGGTTCCATCGCTTGCTTCAGGCACCAATCTATTGAGAACTGTGTACCTCGTGTCAGCATTGACTCACTGTTCCCATTGTATGTTGAACTCTTCTTGCAGCAGAAATGCATGTGAGCACACCAGCACAGGTGGAAGCTGCTGCGATAAATGTCTCCATCCAGGCACTCAAGGAAATCGCAGACTTGGCATGCTCCTGCAAAGTGAAGGGCCCTGCTGGGCGATGGAAGGCATGGAGGGAAGGTGTGGACGCACTCATGACAGCAGGAGCGCACCAGCTTGAGGTAATTATGTTCATCTTATGCCTCATCAAGCGGATGTAAAGTGTTGACCATGTATTTGTTTGAGATAGGAGCTGCAGGTCTGATCAAATGACAAAATGCCCACAGAGTGTGAATGTTTTGTTGTTTTTTTTATGTTTAAGGGGAATGAAATACACAAAATAAGCAGAGAAAAACATGGGATACTGAGTGGTGCGCTGAGGAAGCGCCAATAACATGCCGGTGGGGGCGGTTTCAAGAGCTGTGTCACTCCATGCTGCAGGCCAAGCGAGAGCTGCGAGTCCATGCCCTGCAGCTGGAGGAGGCCCTCATATCTGGCACAGAAGAGGAGGGACGCTACTATGATATGGAGGAAGGGGAGGAAGGGGACGAGGAGGGGGATGAGGAGAAGGACAGCGAGAACTGCGATCGCCACAGTGCCTCTTCGAATGACAGTGCCCAACAGACTGGTGCTGGGGGCATCGATGGGAGCGCTGTTGCCAGCGACAGCGGCAGCGATCTGGAGGTGCGGGACGGAGTGTATGCTGCCAGCAACTCAATGCAGAACGCTCGCAATGGCAGTCAAAATCCATCTATATGTGCTTGAGCAATCCAACAGTTACTGTTGGCTTGCTGGCAGACTTCGTGGCACTCCACACCAGACTATGCGCCTGAATGTTTTTGTATCTAGTCATCCATCCGGCAGTGTTTTTGTGGGGAAGGTGGCTTTCTCTATCCCAAGCCAGGCGCAGCATGCGAGTGCCTGGTGCATTTTAGTGCACACAGCTTGGCAGGAGCAACAGCTTCATTGAAGGTTAACGTGCGCTGCGTCTTCTGAGGCGCCATGGACGTGGATTTGGGTCCAGAACAGAAAGGGAGCAAGTTTATTTCAAGATGTTGCTGCCCAGCAGTTCAGTGTGCTGAAACCCTTTTCAGCAGCAAAGGTTGCTCGGGCCAGGATTAGAGGCTGAAGATGGTTTGCTGGGTGTCGATGATGGATGGACACTCCTGGTGTCCTTTGTGTTTCTTCTACTCCGCTTGAAATGTATGGCCAAATGAAATACACATCACCTACCAGCTTCCCAGCACAAGAGGACTGGTAGTGGAACATCAGTGCCCTGACAGCTTGCGCCACTCTAGTTGAGATTCAACTGGGTTGAAACTCCTTTCATTCCACGTGGAGCAGCGAGAGTCAAGCCAAGCTCATAAGTATCATCAACCATCAGTATGCCAAGCTCTGAGCGTGAATAGATGAACAAAGTCTCTGGAACAAGCATTGTAGGTGGAAGCATGTCCAGTGTCGCCAAGAATATGCAAGGGTCATGACTCATCACTTTATAACAAAGGACCCTCTTGTCCCACAAGGGGTGGAAGTTAAATATGTAATGGAGAGCAGAAAAGAGCAGAAGAGACTATTGATAATGTGCGGAAACCAAGCACCCAATCTTGTGCCCCCTTTGGCCAGAAGGGTGTCAGAAATTGAGAACAGCATTGGTGAATTTTGTGCTGTGTCACAATCGCGCAGGGGGACTGTCGTGGCTCGAGCATGCGAAGGGCAACGGAGGTCGAGGAGTACCTGGAGTCCGATGAAGAGGACGGCGCACCTGCCTGGTGTGTCTGGCGCGGGGCCCGAGAGCGCAGGTCCTGGCGCCTGGACACGTCGTCCGCTGCCACCATCTCCCATGTGGCCTACTGCATACTGGCCCTCTCAGAAACGGCGGTCCCCGCACTGGAGAAATTCAAACTGAGGAAGAAATTGTGATGACATGGTGTGCCCCACGGCACACGCAGGAGGGCGTTGCAAGTGGGGTTGCAGGGATTGGGGGTGGGCCTGACATTCGTCACTGGACGTTGTAGCGCAGCTGAAGGATGGTGTTGCTGTTGGGGTCATTGTGTGGTGTGTGGGAACGAAGGTCGGGAGCTGGACAGTTCCCAATGGGCAGGCACTGCGGCCAAGTGGAGGGTTGGCCGCCACTGTGTAAGATTTTCCTCCGGCCTTGAGCTTATGGCTGCGTTTCGCAGTTGGCTTGGCAGGCACCCAGTCTCAGTATAGGAATAGATGTGGATGCACTGGCCTTGGCAAACAGTACAGCGCAGTGCCACTGGAAAGCAAAATGGAGACAACCTGAACAGAAAAGAAGGCGGTGGTGCTGCTTGCCATATTCATATCGGCACAACGGTTTCATGGCTGTAGTACTGGCAAAATACAATTGCATCTTGGCACTTGTGTGCAATGGGCACATTGCAACAAGAAAGCCAAGACGATTGGCAGCATGCTAATGTTGAGATGACTGGCACTGGACAAGGAGATCGTCACCAAGTATGACGTCTCTGTAGTGGTACGTTGCTTGGGGCTGTGCTGGGCTTACTGGAATCTAAATAGTGCCCTTATTATCTTCCGCAAGCATGGCGTGAGCAGCGCCTCGATGCGCAGAGGAGCATATTAATTGCTGAGGTGCGTGGCAGATCCCGTGACTAAGACGCACACGATCTATGCGTGGATGACACCGCTTGGAAATGGCCCGCTGCAATTTCAATCCAACAGAAAAGGCGCAAGAAGATGAATCATGTGGCTGAAACATGGAGCGACTTACGAGATTCAGTTGCATAACGATGAATGCAGCTGCAAGATTTGCTGTTTTGGGACTAAGGGCACAATGCTCCCTGATGCACAACACTTTCCGGATAGCTGTTCGCCATGTTTAAAACACGGGCTAAGAATTAGTGGACTTAACAGCACTGGCAGTGAAACCATGACTTTATGTGCATGGAACAAAGCGAGCACTGTCAGCTGCTTCCACTAAGGCTCGTATGAGCTGGAGCTTGGCGGTCTCGTGCACATGCGACACTGAAGCAGAACAAATTCAGTTGGGTCAACCGACGTGAAAGAGGGCCTGCAACTGCCTTCCCACACACATATGCACACTTCGTGACTGGTTGGATGCCAGCCAAACACGGCCGCCTCGACGCCCGTGACTGCTTGGTCTGAATAGACAAGTGGTGGTGACAAAGGCGATTTTCGCGCATTTGCTCAATGCACTGCACGGTGGCCAAATTGAAATTTGTTTCCGGCTCGCCCCCCACCCCCATAACCCCCACCCCAACCACCCCTCCCACTCTGCAATCCTTACGTTGATGCCGCATCATGATCCAAGTGACGACGAGTTAAGAAAGTACATGGTGAATGAGGTGAACACTGTGCACGTGGTGACTATGGTGGAGAGTTATGGTGCACTAATGGTGAACAGGGAGGTAGCGCATGGTGGTGAGGAAATAACACTGATTTGGTGTTCAATTCAATGTTGCTTATAGGAGCAGGCGCTGCATTCTGTAATCCATCCATTACGGCCTGTCCCTTTTGCCAGGCGGAGTCTGTGCGGGAACGAGTGTTCACATACAACGAGGGAGCAAAGTCATAAGGGAATCTTCTGAACTCCGCATTCTGCGAAGTCGATGTATCCAGGCGAGGGGGCGGACACAATTATGGATGGGCGTGTGGAACAAGAGATTTGCCTATTAGACAAATCTCTTTTTGAGCATGTCCATCAACGAGTGGCGCACATGATGGCAACGGGGCGGACGTCAGGCACCGCAGTACATGCGGTGAAATATGTTCAACCCCAAAAAGCAGAGTCCACGCATTCTAGAAAGAAGATTGCAGTTCGCCACCAGCAACAAGAGCCCACTGGCTGCCATTTCCAAATGTGGATTGCCGAAAAATGCCCACACTGCCCCATTGCCTTGACTCACAAAAGAAGAGCAGAAATGCATATACATCGTCATTCATTTGACATACCAAGGTAAGCAGGTAGCTGCCAGCTTCTTATTTGCCCTAGCAAAGCAGTGTCCATGACCAGTTCATTGACATCTTACGTATAACACAAGCAAAGTCCAGCAATCCATCAATTCCTGTTACCACGAAGCCCTTGCCGATGATGATGCACGTGAAGAAGTGTTCTTGCCAGTTGAACATTCAAGCACTGCACGTCCAAGAGCCCATTTTGCAGCCGTGGCGAAGGGGTTGCTGGCTACCTCGACGGAATAGATCCGAAACCCTGCCAGTCGTTGCTTGGCTGTCCAACGGGACCACCGCAGGCCGACAATTCGATTGCGCCCGCGCGGAGCCCCGTGGGCCCCGTCCGCGTCTGCGCGATGTTTGCCCTGAAGAAGAGAGCCACCGTGGCGCTGTTCTCTAATGGGCGCAAGAAGAGCGCCGTCAGTCCCCGAAATGAGGGGGACAACCAGCAGGCCGCCTTTCAAGACTGCGCCCAGGAGCTGGAGCGGAAGGTGCGGGGCAGTCGGGGGGCAGCTCGGCTGCCTTCTGAGCCTCAAGTCACGGGGGCAAAGCAAGGTTTCTGTTTTGACGTGCATCGCCGCTCGGCATTGCTGGCGACGGCCTGCCGTGCTGGATGTGGTGGCTGCCGTGCTTGCAGTCAGGGACGGCTGCTTCGTTCGCACGGGGTAGTCGGAGCGCGGCCCAGCCATTGGCGGACTTCGAGAGCGAGGGCGGGGCACTTAGTTTCTCTGAGCCACCAAATTCATTGGCTGCCCGTGAAGGGCTCTCTGGGAGAGACAAGCTCTTCTGTGCCTGTCAGTCAGTGTCAGCAGTAGGGAATCTGATCAATCCCGCGCTGGGACTGCGCTGCAGAGCGTGCAGTGCACCGCGACATACATGGCAACAGCGCCACCGTAATCCGATATCAAAAATGTGGAATAAAATTTGTTGCCCTGTGCATTTCGCAGGCACGGGAGAGTGGGCGAAAGCACGGGGAGATGCAAATGGCGAGAATAGACGGGAGGCAGTCAGACGATCTGTCCCAGGTTTTCCTCATGAAAGCATTCCTAGCCACACAACTTTGACGCCAAAAGGGTGCTAGTTTCAGGCGTCCCCTTCTATGCCATTCATATGCTGTTCAACAAGGGGAACGCGTCGCAAAAGCCAACGGCTATTGTAACAATGCGGAATTCTTCCCGTCAGTGTATTTTTTACTTTTCTGCACATCCAACGCATGGACTCGTTTGAAGCACTTTTTTGCTTTACACCTGTATGCTAAGATCCGCTGCCCATGGCGCCTGGATGCACAGGTACGTACGAAAAACACATAGCAGTGGAAGCTGCAGCAATGTGTAGTAAGTGCAGTATGGATACAGCACCCGACGCTGGAAATCTTTGCCGGTGCAGATGATCGACAGCGTGATAAAGAAGAAGCAAGAGATGAAGGAAGCCATCGTCAACATCGAGCACCGGCAGGAGCATGAATGGCTGCTTCCGCAGGAGATTGAGGACGATCTGGAGAGGCTTCGCCTCACGCCCTTGGGCCAATCGTTCACGGCGGGCTTTGGCCCCGGCAGGCCGGCAGCGTACGCCTGCCGCGACTCGGATGGGTCCGCATCTGAACACGGCTGGGAGGGGTCCGGGAGCCAACACCAAAGGGATATCCCCAATGAAGAGCCGCCCTTGACGTGAGCGCAGTCCTGATGTTAGTTGATTTGATTGCAATATTATCAGAGTGCAGTCCTTGCTTCAATGGTATGATGCGCGTGATGAGTGCGAGCGCCCAAGAATGCGACGCGCGTGCAGATGCTTCCTTTTCTTATTGTAGCCCGTACCGCGTGTTTTTGAATGGTAGGTGCGAGATTCAAAGTGATGAGTGCCAAACACTCACACGATTTTTTAAGCTTTCAAACTGTATGTTTGAAATATGTAATTTGGAATATATATTATACATCTAAGCATGATAATGATGTTAAGCACTTTGAGAAAATTTTTCATCTGATCAAGTTTTCACTAACTTTAAGTAGCAAACACAGTTGAGGAGACAACAATGTACCTGCGTTTTCAGAAAAGTATGCTCCTACTTGGTGTCTTACTCACTCCTGGAAATCACCAATTCGCCGTTGTTTGTACACTGTGCTCACATTGCATTGTGCGTTCACATGAGATGATGCTGAGTCGTCGATTGAAACCATTCGCTGCACCGGCTGCCAGTTTGATATTAAACATACATCCGTGCGCAACATGCCTATGCGATTACTCTCAATATTGTGTTCGTATCCTGACCATGGCATGGACCCAGGTTTGTTGGCAATTTGCTGTGTTTCCAGGTCTTGAGTCCCGCATTGCAAGCAATTATGGTTCTCCATATCGCGGATTGAACTGAATGCGCTGGCACATTAAATGCGTTGCAGAAAATCATTGCGTGCAGGGAACACCGCGAAGCATGTGAATTTATAGACATTCTTTTCATACCTTTACTTTGGAAAAACGCGCAATGAAGAATCTACAACGTCAAGTACACATGCGGCACAGTTTGTCTCAGGGAGTGGCAGTAACGATGTTGAATCAGCAACTCCCCAATTTCAGCAGAGCCCGACGTTTGACTCAATTTCAACATTCTTCGAGTGCTTTGTGAGCAGACCAAAACAGCCCATTCAGCTGGAGCCTATTCTGTCGGCGATGCAGCCGCCGTCTTTCGGCGATATGAGAACGGCATCAAGCATTCAGAGGACCCAACAAACAGATGCAGCGCAGATGGACGAAGAAGATGACGAGGAGCGGAACTGTGAAATTTTCGATCGAGTATTTGTGGCGGAGAGGGAGGGTGCGCACACCACGCTACCGCACGGTAGAGGAGCTTGCATATGTATATGTTCTTGCAGCATTGGGTGTTCAATATGACGTCCAACGCCTCTGGTCCGTTGCCTTGCCGCTGCGCCATGAGAATCTGGAGCAATCTCCATGAATCGATGTTCAAATCCATT